TAGACTCTCTAGATGGCTATGAGCTACAGGATGAGGATGACGGCCTGTGCGAGCAGGCAGATTTACGGTTGTATGGTCTTCCAGACAGCCGGAGAGATGTCTGGGCAACAGATACATATAGGTCAACTGACCGCTCTTTTCCTCCAACCAAACTGGAAGTTATTGAAGAGGAGAAAACCCCAGAGGAATGTCCCAAAGACGCTTTTAAAAAAGATACTGCTTCAAATGGGGAGACCCCTGATGGTGTAAGTAAGGATGGGGTTAAAAGTGAGGAACAGAAACCCTCAGATAAAGAGGGATTTTCAGACACTTATTTCAGTTATAAGTTAGAAGAAGAGTTTAATTCTCCTTTTAAGACTGTGGCTACTAAAGGGCTGGACTTTGACCCCTGGTCCAGTAAAGATGGAGAAGAAGAAATTGTTGACATGGGAGGGGGCAAAGGAAAGCAATGGTGAGCCTAAGCCTTTTGGACTGGCCGTGGACGAACAGTCTCAGGCAACAACACCAGACACTACCCCAGCCCGAACACCAACGGACGATAGCACGCCGACGAGCGAGCCAAACCCATTTCCCTTCCATGAAGGGAAGATGTTTGAGATGACACGCAGTGGTGCGATTGACATGAGCAAGAGGGACATGGTTGAGGAGAGGCTCCAGTTTTTTCAGATTGGTGAGCATTTCTTCTCAGCGGGCAGGTACAGGGTCAGGGACTCAGAGGTAGATGCCTCCTTACATCACAGTGATCAGTTTTATCCTCCTACAGACACCTTAATCCCTCAAGTCTCCATTCAGACAACTACTGTCCAACTAGAAATATCACCTGCATCAGACATTTACAGCACATGTAGAAACTCAACTTCCAACACTGAGCCTACATTCACCACATTTAAAACAGGGTTCAAGTTATCATCCGATAAAACCTCTGACCCTTCAAATAGCACCTTTGGTCATTATAACATTACCTCAGGAACAACTGTAGATAGTTCTTATTCTGTAACCTCACACCATACAGATTATTGTAATTTTGCATCAGGTATCACAGATTATTACTTAAATAACAGAGTTCCTTCAGGTACCACCAAACAAAGGGACTGTTTGGATTGGACCTCTGAAAATCCTAACAATTATTACCAAAGCACAGATTCTTCTACAACTACACAACAGAATACAAATCCCTCAAGTAGCAGTAATCCTAAATCTCAGTATTTCCATTCAGAAGATGTACAGAGTGGCAGTATTGTGTATAACTTGTTGTCCTCTTCAGGACCCACTCTGCGGGAAGTCAGCAGAATAGAAGCATCTTTTAGCCAGCTAGAGGAGAACAGCAAGGAAGGCACTACTTTTACTAATGTAGCAATAACAAACACAGGGAGCCAAAGAGGTCAAAGGAAAGATATGCAAATCCAGGTTACCAGTGAGGCTACCCGGCCGCAAACTATGCAGTCAAAGTCAACCAATAGTTAAAGATCGGGCACAAGACAAGGTCAATACACTCCACTTAAGAGGACATGCAATGCATAAGGTCAGGGAAAGAGTAGACCCGTTTGAGAATTTATTTCCTAAATCTAGAATCCCAGTAATGAAAGCCATGAAACGCTCCTCTTGTCCTAAGGAGCAAAAAAAAGTTAGAACTAAGTTTTTGGCTAACAATAGGCACATTCAAACTACCAAGGGTAATACTCAACTGTCTCAATGTAGATCAAGCACTGAACCCAGGTACAGTGTGGGGAAAATCCCAGGTAGAAGTAGCACAAACAAGACAGGGCCAAAAAACTGTACAGTAGTCCCAAAAAACTTTAAAACAAGGTCTGTGAATAGTCAGGGAGCCAATCTTTTGGACCAAACCTTTCCCAGGGAGGCTGAAACAAAATTAGAGGGGAAAACACTGCCAACTGAGGAAGACGAGAGCCGCAGCCTCAGCACTACCGGGAACACTTCCTTGTCAGAACCATCTAGAGCATCTAGAAGTTCTCGCCCTTCACGCACCTCTACCTCCACCTCCACCAGCACCACCACATCAACACCATCTGCTAGAGATGTGAGAGCTGAGGTTGAGCAGGCCAGCAGTGAGAGGATGAGGCGGAGCAGGAGGAAGAGTAGGCGGACACTTGGAAGAAAAGAGCAAAAGCAGATGGAGAAGGAGGAAGGGAGTCAGGTTGATCAACCAATCACGGCTCCTGTCACGGAGAACCAGACTAGTTTGTAAACTCTTTCTAAAAACTTGTACCTTATCTTTCTCTATGAGATGCATGTAGCCGTTGTGGGTGATTTGTGACGTGACATTGTAAGTGTAGCTGTCAATTCTTCTTCTACAACTACTACTTCTTCTACTTCCTCCTTTCATTCTTGTTATCTGTGTCCTGTGCTGTCTGACTTAGAGCAAGAGGGAAAGGCTAAGACACAGAGACTCTTATTGAATTACTTAAATCTGTCCTTGGATCCTACAAGACATTTCAGGTTGCCTTAATAGTCTTATGTCATGTAGTTTGACGTTTGAAATAAGTGAAGGATAGGAACGTTGGTGAATCTGCTATATTAGCGGGTTATTGATACAATTGCTAGTAAGAGCTTTGCTGCATAATTGAATAGGTGCAGAAACTTCAACTTTAGTTGTAAGCATAGGTTGCAAGAACGCACATTTAAGTTAAGAGTTAAGCTTCTGATATACTTGCTTTGAACTACACATTCCTGTGCACATAATGGCTGCCCTACGCGCATTTCCTGTTATGTGTTAAAACATCATAGTCTCTTACTTAAACAATCGATAGCATTTAAAGCTGCGTCCATGCTTCTTTTTACAGCCTGGTACAAAAACCTAATTTGGTATGAATAGCTCATCCGTTACACACTGTACAGATGCTGATTTAAAAAAAAAAAAAATCCCCCGTTTTGATTATATTTAAGCTAAGCATTATTCATGATAACGAACGTGGTTGATCTGACTGATGGACGAGTCTGCCTCAGCTCCAGCTCTTTGCCTGTTGCTAGGTTGAACGACACTACAATGGCTGGTTCTACAGCCAGTGCATCCTGGACATCAGGGGGATTGCACATGGCCTGATCACTCTGGTGCGCCCTCTAGAGGCGGCCTCCAGTAACACGCGTAGTACATAGCCAAGTATGTTAAGATAAATGTTTATAATACAGCCAGTTGTGTAATCCATTGAAGGGTTAAAAAGCAAGTATATCTCTGGCCTCAGTATGCATCCCTGTTATTGTGAGGTCCTAAAGGCTACCCACACACACCTTCTCACTTTCATTTACTAGCCAGATTAAGCTAGGCTAGCCTTGCACCTCACCACATGACTTCACACCTCTCACTTCCTTCATGCTCAACATAATAAGGACCAGTAGAATATATATTTTTTGGGGGGGGGGGGGGGGGGTTCATGACTGTTTTGGTCTGCTTGCCTGGTTTGTAGACATCATTTGGTGGAACTCTTTTTTTGTTATCTTTAAAGACACTGTGAAAACAATTCATTGGCTAAACTTGACAATCACAGGATTTCAGCTGCGAAGGAGTGGTTCAGTGCAGTCGATTATTCTCAACGTGGTGGAAAACACGATGCAGCTGGACTAGATTTGATTTCAAGTTAAAGCTGTGAATTGCTTTTATCAGTGGGAGGAAATGTTGCCTGATGGTAGATTGTCTGTGGATAGTGATGTGATAGAAAACTCTCTAACTCTCTGAACTTGAGTACTAATACTTAAACTACTTACATCAAACATTTAATTTTTTTGTAAATGTGATTTGTGTTTGAACTTTTTCTGGCCTCACAGATCCTCAAACTTTAGATTTTGTATAATAAGCTGCCTCAATAATGTTCTTCAGTAGTGCTAGAATTAAAGTATTTGTGACTTAAGGGCAAACATTTTAATAATTATATTATTTTCCTCTTTGAAGTTCTGTTCATCAGCCAGAGTATGAAGGCTAGTCTATTTAAGACACTATGGACATCTCCAGCACAAAGCTCTATAATACATGTCTCAAGGTTTAAAACCATAGCCCCTATATACAGTTAATACAATTAAACAAAACACGTCAATATAACTCATACTGGTTCGCCACTTTATACAGTAGAGTTGTAACAATCAGCAAACTCATGATACGATACATATCACGATAGTGGGTTCAGGATTTTATATGATTAACTTATTTTTATACAGATATGCACAAAGGATTATTAGGGCCACATTAAGGGGTGAATAATCTGAGATTTCAATATTAAAGTCGTTATTTTAGTCTATAGTTAAATCAGTAGAACAGCAGCCGCCTGTACAAAATAGAGGAACGTGGAAAGTGAAATATTTTTTTATGAAGACGGATTTAAAATTCAGTCCTAAATCAAATGTTTCTAAATATATATTACTGTGGAATCAATTTAATATTTATATATTTATATAGATTTTAATGTTATTGGACGTATCGTTTCATCCCTATGATACAGAGTGAGGCTTGCTGACTTAATGCTAAGCTATCGCTAACAGTGTTCCAACTTACTTTGATTACAAGTGACGTGCTATTGGTCACTCTCATCATTATCAGCAAACAAAAGTGAAGCTTACTTCCCAAAATGTTCAAGTATGTCTTTTAGGCAAACACTGAGAAAGTGAGGACAGTCTGGCCAGAAATAACGTTTTGTTTTCCTCGAAGTAAGACCTGGGACGGTGAGCTAAAGTTAGTCTTAGTGTTCTTCCAGTCACTGACACTGATGTACAAATGACAAGAGATAGAAAGTCTACTTAACTAGGAATTCATTACTTCTGCATTTAAAAGGTATTATTGTCAAAAACATCAAAGTTTAGAATCTAAAACAGACAAACTTTCAGTTCACAATCCCAATCTGTTTCTTTAGTTATACGTCATTGAGCCCCTCTGTGGGCATTTTGTAGGATCTCTGATTTACACCAACATTTTTTTTTTTTATCATTTGGATATTGTTGTCATATTATCATGTTGTAACTATTTCTGTCCTGCCCTCACCTGCACCCTCACACAGGCCCTCAGAGTCCCTGTGAGAGAACAGACCTCCGCATGGCGATAGTAGCCGACCACCTCGGACTCAGCTGGACTGGTGAGTCTACACACGTCACTTTCTCTACACTATAAAACACTCAGAAACAAGCATGAAAGGATGTTAGAATAACGAGATGTTTTTGCACTGCTGCTCAGTTCAGCATCCAAACAACAACTACAACATGCACTTCTGAGAGTCGTCAATATTTAATTTCTTAAAAAATATCTATCAATATATGTCTTGAACCTAACAGAATGAATCGTGTTCACTTAAACACCCACATGAGAAGAAGGAGCAGGACTGATCCCAGCTTCAAACTGTTGGTTTTACAGTGTTTGTTGCCCCCTGGTGGACATGTAGTATAATGCGTTTTGACTTCGCAGTACTGCAGTGTTGTTTATGGTCTCCTACATCATCATAACTATGACACAACATAAAAGTGAGAATATATTAAATTGTTATTTTGCAGTTCAATTCTTAAGATACAAACATACAAACCTCATGATACGGTCAAAGGGGCTTAGATAACACAGATTATAAACCTGTAATTAACTTTTATACCAAAAAGCTTCTATAGTAGTGTATTTGTGGTTTTAAATGTGGTGTTGTTTTTTAATTTGAGGTGTTTAAGAGGCATTCAGATGATTTCATTTATATGACACACTCGAGTAGAGAAGGGTGTGGCCTCTGCAGATGAGTCCAAGCCTGACCGCCTGCACTGCAGCAACTGTCCCGAGCCTGCCTGCATGTGTGTGTGTGAGTGAGTGGGCGTCACCCAGTGTGTGTAATGTGTGTGTGAACAGTGTGTATGAGTGTGAATGTTGAAGTTGTGTGCCTGTAGCTTTCCCGTGTAGTGAGTGCTCATAAGAGAAAAGTCATGTCATCCATATTTAATGTGTGTTCCTGTTGCAGAGCTGCAGTGAACCAGTAAATCTGATGAACATTATGTTCTCTGCTGAAGTAAATGTTATAACCAGTCTGCTTCTCGGTACGAGCAGAAAGTCTCTATGACTAAGGATATAAATTGTTATGTGAGTGATGGCTCTAGTACTCTGTCTCTAATTGGCTAGTACGCACTGACTAAATATTCAGAAGGAGTCTTACATGCCACTATTTATAACAGAAGCTGATTATCCTCTGCTGGATGGGCCACTTCTTTAGGCACCACCACACCACTGAGCTTAAAGAGGACATGTTATCCCCCTTTTCCCCCTTTTCAAACAGTCTCCTGTGGTCTAAATGAAACATCTGTGCTGTGCTTTGGTCAGAATATAACATGAATCAAGCACCAGAGGAGGTTTGTGACCCTGTATAAACCAGCTCTCTCAGAACGCTCCGTTTTAGTGTGTGTGTCTCTTTAAATGCAATGAGCCTCCCCCTGAGTCTTCCCTGTATAGAATTAAAAAATGGCGGACCTGTGCAAAAGTTTTGTTCTAGGCTGGGGGTGGAGTCCATGGGTGGAGATACCAGGGGAGGGGAGGGGATTTATTTGACCAGAATCCCACTGTGACATCACAAGGAGAGCACATTTGAAACGGAGCATTTTCCTCTGTGTTGTAAGACTTATGCAGACCACAAACAAAGGACTGGATGGGTTTATTTCACATTTTGTCACTCAGGTTACCCAAATATATGTTCAAAAACACTGTGAAAGTGGAATTCTCATAATATGTCCCTTTTAATAGATATTCACCCAGAAGCCGGCCAGACTTTTTTAACATGTTACCTCACTGGAAATGATACTCTCAAGCCTTGAGATGTGACCAAACATATTCATGGTTTCTAAAAAGTGTGTTTTGTGTTGCTGTTGCAGAGCTGGCCAGGGAGCTGGATTTCTCTGTGGACGAGATCAACTTCATCAGAGTGGAGAACCCCAACTCCCTGACAGCACAGAGCTTCATGCTCCTAAAGAAATGGGTGCACAGGGACGGTAAAAATGCCACAAGTAAGCAACGTGTTTGAGTTAAAGAATGATCCTGATATGGCTGCCTTGTTTTAAACCCAGGTCTTCTTCTACTTGCTGACACTTTGGGGTATTACAAAACACATTTCAGTCGCTACTTTATGAATGAAATGAGTCAGTCTTGTGGAAATACAAAGTTACATGTTAGAAGTTTTCCTGTGAATAAAGCTTCTCTGTCTCTCTCCTCTCTAGCGGACGCTCTAACCGCGGTGCTGACTAAGATCAATCGGTTGGATATTGTGACTTTGCTGGAAGGGCCCATATTTGACTACGGTAACATTTCAGGCACACGCTGCTTTGCCGATGATAACGCAGTATTCCCGGATCAGTCCGATGGTAAAGTGTAGCCCACCCTAGCTGAACTCTCAGTCTATCTCTCAGTCTATCCCCTCTCCCTTCTTCACCTCCTCTCTCAGCCAGATAGTCAGACCTGACTGTGAACTAATACAGAACCAATCAGGCTTGACCAAAACAATGGACACTAATTAAATTGAAAAGCAAAGTGCCTTACTGCTCGAGCAGGTTCATTGAGCTCACTGCGGTTAATGGACCGTGAGGTAGTGATAGCATTAGTCGTCTATTTCAAGCAGTCACCCCAGTCAGACTTCCAAAAAATTAGTCATTGGAGCCTTAAAGGCATATGATAGTTTTTTTGGGTGATTATTGATAATACTTTATTAAAACTTCTGATAAATCTGTACCACTTTGGGTGCATGACACTTTAAAATAAATGTGACTGTTTCAAAAGCATGATCCTGAAGTGAATGTAAGCCTTAAATGAAGCGGTGTCTCCGTCCCGTCTGATTAATGTATCGATCATCTTATTGATTAGAATGTTAATTATACGTTTTCAGATGGGTTATAGGCGCTGTTTCATGATTTGGTTTGACAATTTATGTCTATGTGTATGTCACAAGTTTAAAAAGACTCCCCCTCTTTTTGTTAACTTGTGTCATATGCTGTTAAAGATACATAAAAACATAATTATACCAGTTTAGAATGATAGCATGCTCGCTTTAAGCAGCATGGCAATTCTTCCTCTCTGTCTAACTTTCTGTCTTTCCTCTTAATCGATTTTAAATGTCGCAGCTAAAAAAATGTTCTGATTCTGACGGACCACGTGAGGCACATTTCAGAAGTTTGAGATGTTTTCACCTTTTCTTACAGGTTATAATGTACAGAGTGTTACGAGTTATGAAGCTGATAGTCTGTGGAGGTCAGCACTGGGATAACTTAACGTTCACAGTCATTCAGACATTTACACAGCTGACATGTGGCCCTGATATTACACGCTAAAATGTTTATTTTATCTCTTAAACCTAATTTAAAGATTGAAGACTCAAGATGTTTATTGTCACTCTGAACGTGCGCGCTAGCATGTGAAAAACTTTTGCAGGTTGGCTCCATTTCAAAGAGATAATATTGAATATTAAAGGAATTTAAATAAGATGAATTACAATAAGTTATATATAAAGCAGTGACAAGTTAAGCCATAATAAAAATAACTATTAAAATACTAATAAACATGTTAAAAATGTTAACACGAGAAAGTATGTGGAATAAACAGAAATCTGCTTGACGTATTGCACACGAGTGAAATTACACTAAAGCATGAAGTGTTTAATTTATTTTAAAAGGTGTAAAAAAGTATAAATGTAAAGAATCTGACAAATCATAATCTTTTTTCAGCTTTTCTTTATTTAAGAGGAAATAACCAATGAGCTACAGTTAAGCTTCAGGGTGACAACAGCTAGTAGCTAGCATTAGCGTTCTAGCTTTTATCGACATTGCACCTTGAAAAATATATAGAAGGAAACAAGAAAAGGGGGTTTTGCATTTTTATTGTCAGAGAATTTAAAGAAGTATATTTTCCATAAATTGACGTAAATCCTGTCTTCTTTTTTTTCTCCCCTAGCTAGCTGTAATGTTAGCTGGCCAATAGTCGTGTTTGCAAGCTAACAGGCACGTTAAGCTAGGAACTGTTTAGGTGTTAAGATTAGCTGTAAAATGACTTACTAAATACGCTGTGTTGCAGCTAAATGTTTGAACAGCGTGAGCCTGGCAAACTAAGACAAACTTGTGAACTGTGCCTCATCGCTAATCTGTCCAATAAGGTGTCTGAATGTCATGTTAACACAAAGATCAATTTGACTGTTGCTTTCAATCACAGGGAAGCAAAGATGATCTTTTTGCAAAGATGATTTGAAGTGAAACTAACATTTAACTGATAAAACAAATGAATTATAAAATGCATGGCTCTTGCTTTGTGCTGCTCTGATGTTGTTGGCCTTCAACAATACACTTTTAACACTATTCAAACGGGTGCCGCCTTTTCAACCTGCCACGAGTGTTCATTTGGCAAAAGCACACGTGACTCTAATGATGTGCTCTATCCCATAATACGCTCACAGACGGGTTGAAAACGAAACACTTTTTTTCCAAAGTGTGCAGTGTATAATAATGCTTCTGTGTCACTGCTGTTAGCTGTTCTGTATCTCATCTCCTGGGTTCTCCCGGCCTCCCAGCCTCTACGCTCCACTGTAGCTTCTCCCGCTTTGAGACCAGCAGACTGCCAGCCTCCTCTTCCTCTGCCTCCTCCTCCTCCTCCTCCTCCTCCCTTTTCCTTTTTTTTGCTTCTGAGTGACTAACTCCTGCAGCCAAAACCCCAGCTCTAAGCACAGCTAACCAGCTAACAACTTCAACCAGCTGCTACCTTTTGCTAACTAATTGCTTCTGGATCCAGTACTGATTCAGTGGTAATTCCACCTTCCCCCTCCTCGCCGCTGAGCTCAGGCTGACTTAGACTACAGTGCCCCCTACTGGTATTAACAATCCCCAACATGAGTTGCATATCTCTTGTTTCTTCTAGGACACCCAGAGCTTCCTAGCAAGCTTTAAGAGTTAGCATAACCCCCCGACCATGCAGCTCTTTTCACAGGACTGTAACACAGAGTTAACTTTTTCTTGTAGTAAAAAGAGACATTTACATACAAAAAATTGTAGTCTTATAGTTTAGTCTTCTACTTTTCTACAACTGTAAGCCGACAGTTTATTTTTACAGTCTGTGATTTGGTTATAGATGAGAGTGTCTTATGCTAAGCTAGCTTTTAGCGGCATCGTTTTAATTCTAGTATTTAAATGTTGGCTGGTGTTAACATCACTCAACTTCCATGATATCTTGGCTTTATGCGAGAAAAGTTAAAATCCAACTTTAACATTGAAAGGGATCAGATTCAGTATTATTTTATAAAGTAATCTGACATTCGATTTTGATGTTTTTGTTGATGCAAAATGTCCCAGAATGCATTGCTCAAAGGTAATATAAGAGCTGCATACAGTTTAAGAAAGCTCTCGAAAATCTTTATCTTAATCAAGTCATTTTTAATAATATAGTGTCTACTGTTTGCATGCTTTATGCAATTTGGAGGTTAGCCCTACATTTATTTCAGTGTTAGGTTTCCCTTTGGTAATTTTGTTTATAAAGTCCTGCCTTTCTCATATCCCCACTTTTCATCCTTCTTCTTCTTCTTCTTAGCTTCTCCATTAAACCAGTTTGCAGCTTAGCAAACCTAAGACCCCCTAGATGTCCTAATGCAAGAGGAAGCCAGAATTATGTACCAAGTCCATTTACTTTGACTTTACATGAGTGGTTGTTCTTCTCTCTGCTGGCGACTTAGAGATCTATTTTTGCTTATTGACTGAGATAAGCAATCCCATGACTCTGGTGTGCAACAATCTTCGCTTCTGCAGCTTTCTGAAACATTGCGCCTTCATCAATCAAAAGTTCACTTCACTGTGTCTGTATTCGTCTGTTTCTGCTTTTTTTTTTTGTCTCTTCATCTTGTCCAACACTTGTTCTGTTTTTGTGTTATGTCTCTTGTGAATTGTGATAACTGTTTTTAGCTCCAAAGCTTCTTAGGTCTCCTACGTTCCCTCTGGGTCCTAAAAAGCCTCCGCCTGTTTACCCTGCTCCTCCTTCCTTTACCTGTGTCTCCTCTCCCTCTCCTCGCTTAAATCCCAGCCATATCCCCTTGTCATTTTTTCCCTCCCCTCCTGCCGTCCCGTCTTCCTCCTCTCTTTTTAAATTCCCGTCTCCCCCCTCCTACTCCTCCGGTTTACGTCCTACCTGTCGCTCCTGTTCTCCCTCACTTCATCGCTCTGACTTACTCCCCGCCTCCCACCTCCTCCCCCCGAAGCCCTTTGAGCTGCTTCACATTCTTCTCTCCTCCTCCGGTTATTCCCCGTCACCTTCCTCTCTCTCCCCTTTGTCTGCCTTCAACCTTCCCTTCCTCCTCCATTTCTCCTCTTGTTCTTCAACCTGCTCCCCGTACTGCCTCACATCCACTGACAAAATCACCTCCTTCCTCTTTTTGCAACTCTCTCTCCACGTCTCCTCCTCCTTCTGTGTCATCCCATTCCGTGCATGCTCTGACTCCTCCTCCTTCTTTAAAATGTGCCTCCTCACCACCTCCTCCTCTACTTCCTCTGACTTCTACACTCATCCCCCTTTTCTCTCCTGCATCTTCTCCCCTCCCTGCAAATTCTCCCCCTTCTACCGCACCTCACTGTTCCTCTTCTTCTCCCCTAAATCATCACTCTCCTTCTCCCCTTTTACTCCCCTCATCCCCCCCTCCTTCCCCCCTCCCTCCTGGTGTCCCGTCTTACTTCAAGCGGGATCGTTCAGTTCCAGAAGTCTACATTTAGACGCTATGACTTTTGTTAAAATCTAACCAATCTGAAATCTACTTCAAATATTGCTCATGCTCTTAAACTGACGCAATAATTGAGAACATGAGTTGAAGTCAGGCTTAGCTTAAAGTGCCCCGCTTATTGATTTCACTTCTGTTGCATTTCAGTTGTTATAATAAGTGCTTTTACAAGTTGCTTGCTTGACTTGCAAATGCTAATTGGAACTACAAAAGTTCCTGAGAAACTTTGCAGATGAAAGTAGTGTGAATCAATATTCATGTAAAAAAAAAGATCTCAATATGGTGTATGTGAGTTATCTGTCTTACATCTTATATTCTGTCTTTATATTCTTTTTCCATCTCTTTGTAAAAAAAATTGTCATGTGTGGTGCAGGTTCAGAAGTCACACAAGAGTCCCTACGTGTTTAAGGAGTTTTGATTTGGTCTCTTCAAGGCAACAGAACGAGTTGTATGAGCAACACAACAAGCTGACAAAGAAACTTGTATTTTTTTGTGTATAACAAAATAAAGCTAAATTATCTTCATTTAGGGGTTTTTTGCCACTTGGTTGGTTTATTCAATTCACTCTGGTGATGAAAAATCAAACCAATGCAAAATGCAAAAAAACTGCAGTTCCTCAAGGGTCCACTTTAGGCTGGAAGCAAAGCCCTCAGAAGTCCCATTAACACCCATGTTAAAATACAGATTTTAACATGGGTGTTAATGGGACATAAGCAGGCTTACAGATTAGATTTAGAGTGAATAGCTTGTAACTTTATCAGCCCACACTATACAGGGGATAAAAATGTGATAACCCGTTTGGATTATATTAAGGCTAAGAGTTATGCATCATTAGGGGCGTGGCTTAGACACATGGGTGTGTTGTAGCTGGGAAACTAGGTTGAACAGAAGTTAAGGTGGCGATTGCATGTCCAATATGGCGACTACCATCACCACCGTTTGGCTTCAAAACCTTTTGGTGATGTCACTAAGAATTGTCCATGTTTTATACAGTCTATGATACTGAGACAACACGGGCAGCCAATTTGGTTGGTTATGATGAAGTCCATTTTTGTATATTCATCAACCGTCTTTAATATTTCTCTTAAAAGTGAGCAGAAACAAGCTAATAGAAGACAGAATATTTGGGCTAACACGTTTAAAGTCAACAAAAAATAAAACTTCAAATGAGAGATAATGTCGCTCAGTTCGTGCTTGATGTGTAAATACAGAACTTGTACTGCTAGCAAGTTTGCAAAACCAGCTTTACAAAGTACAAATATGACAGTATTGTGTTACAGCTCGCTCCGCTGCCCCCAAGTGGCCAAAATATTTTGAATGCAGCTTTAAAGTGTAATTGGGTTTCACTTGTGTGACTTTTGAACAACTGCTATTTTCAAATGTTACAAGTGTTTCTCATATCATCATCTCCACCACTCTTCCTCCCCAACCCTCCCATCTGCCCCCCCCCCCCCCCTTTTCTCTCCCTCCCTCTTCAATCCCCTCACCCTCTAATCCTCTACTCCTGCCATTCAACCCCAGGATACCACAATATAGATCTGGAGCTGAAAACCCCCTCAGACCTGAACTTCCAGCCCCCCACCCCTCTGCGCTCAGACGACTTCTTTAGCGAGGCTGATTTTAGCGCAGACTCCCCTAGCAAGAACACGCTAACTAGACCTAGTGACCTCTCGCTCACTCAGACCACCAGTACCTCCAGCAGCGATCCGGTCACAGTCGCCCCAGCCCCTGGATCCGGCGCCACAGGGCCCCCTATTGTCGGGGCTGAAGATACAGCCTTGACCTCTGGAGAACGGCTGATGCCTGCAGAAAAAATGTCAGGGTTGGCTTCCTATGAGAGGCCTGATAACGAAAGAAGGGCGGTAGAGAAATCAGGAAATGGAACAGACGAGCAAGCCGAGGCCTTAGAGACAGAAATTAGGGCAGGAAATGGCGTCGTTTTGGAGCGTCAGGTAGAAAACCAAAAAGACGAGGCGGCTTCTGGTCATGAAAATGGAAGGCAGGAAGAGGAAGAGGAAGAGGAAGAGGAAGAAGAGGAGATGACCCAGGAGAGGCTGCAGAGTCTGCTGGAGGACATAAAGCTGGAGGGAGGCTTGGAGGACGAGGATATGACAGAGGAGAGGGTGAATGCCATCCTTGAACAAGTACGGCAAGCAGAGAAAGACATGTGTTCAGTTTCAGGCTGGAGAAGTGAGACCTCCGGCGCAATCGGCGAGTCAGCAGGCCCCGCCGCTGAGGAGGGCAGGTACGTTCAAGTTGCAAGATTTACACACTGAGGTTTTCTTTCAGTCCCATTTGTGACAGCCTGTGGATTTATCCTCTCGATATATATATATATATGTATATTCCGCAGCCCTGACAGTCTGGCTGATTCATTGGAGCAGCCCCCAGCTCAGGCCGAGAGACTGAACGGAGGTCACAGTGAAGCGGGAAAGGAGAAGGAAGCCAAGAGGAAAGGATCTCGGGAGGACAGCAGCACAGCCGGACCAAGCGGAGTACAGGATGAGGGAGGAGAAAGGTCCCAGCACAAAGTCCAGGTGAGGGATCCATCTCTGCAGTCTCAGAAGCATTGAAAAGTGCAATCTACTGTAGCACGTCCAAAAACCTTTTGGACCCTTTTTGTTTTCAAATCCAGACAAAATGTTGAACAAATTTGGGTACCGGTTTAAAAATACAGGAATTCTACCTTTAATGTTTTTTTTTTTTCAATGTGTACAGCCTAAAGCTCATCCCAGGAATGTAACCTTCCCCTGATGTTTTCCCCATCATAATTATTTACATTTCAGCATTGGTCACATTTCATATAAACTCAAACCGTATGAAGGACTCCACAAAGTCTGAATTCAAACACACATGCACACACACCGGGGTCACTAATGTTACCCTGCTGCTGGGCTGCTTTTGTCAGGGGGTTGTTAGAGCCGACGAGTCCGACTCTGACGAGGAGACCACAGTCACCACCAGGGTGTACCGCCGACGAGTCATACTCAAGGTGTGTGAGGCCCGGAGTGTGAGCAGCTCGAGGCAGAGTGAAGTTTGCATCGGCTCTGTGACTCTGTGCACGTGTGTGAAGAAGTCACAGATTCAGCTCAATAGATTCTGAGTTTGACAGCTTTCATGTGGTTTTTTTTTAAGTTACATTTTGAGAGTCTGTTTCTAACACAGGAGTGTCTTTGTGAGCATTGTAGAGTCGTACTTATTTTTATATTATCATTCAAGTTGAACTTAAAATACCTCTAATTTTTAAGGTACTTGCCTATAGTGTGTTTGAGGGAGTGTGTGTTGCTTCAGCTTGAAGTGTTTCTCAGCTTGTTGATCGAGCTGTTTGGTTTGACGTTGCTTCCTGATTGGCGGCTGCTTGTTGTGCTCAATGTTTGTCTATAACACTATTTATAAGACGAGGCAAATGTATTGATATGGCACATTTCAGCAACAAGGAAATTCAAAGTTGTTGAAGTAATTGTGAGGCTTGAATTCCATGGGAGCAGAAAACCCTCTCGTCTGACTCACTGATGGAGTTTGTCCAATTAAATAAAAACACACTGAACCTTTAATTCGGACTTAATGCCTAATCTGTGATGTAAAACGTAGAAAATCACCTGTGAGCTGCTTTCACTTTAATTAATCCCAACTATTTATTTCATTTACAGACTAATCTTTTAGTCCATTAATTTGCAGCAATTGGTTGAAAATCTCTCTCAGCTTCTCAGAGCCCAGATTTAGGCGGCTATTTGTCTAAAAATAGTTTTAAAAAAAAAATAATACTGTGTTTGTTGCAGCTGTAAAGTACAGACAGCATGTTTCTGGCTCTCATTTCTTAGTTTGAATACATTAATGTGGTCTTTGTGGAGAAAATATTTCATGTTGTGTTTTGATTTTAAAATCACACTCTGAAATATGCAAATAGATCAAATATGAATGAATGAGGTGCAGCAGGATTAGTGCTTGTGCATGATTGTGTTTTAGTTCCAGCAGTTTTAAGCTGAGAGTTTGACGCTTTCTTTGTCATTTGAGAGTTGCAGTGATTGACATGATTTTACACTATTTAGCATTTAAACTTCATTTATGATGAATCCATGTTTAACCATGAGTCCCAGCACATGTAGTGTGTTGTCAGTTGTGTAATGAAACTTGTGTAACTGTGTCGGTGTAATGTAAGCATCAGATGGGTTTCCACTTTGCTCCACACAGGCTTAAATATAAGTTTTCAGTCATGCATCACAAACTCTGTCAAGGATGCAAGTTTTCATCCGTCCAAGAATTTGTAATACCATCTTTACCATCAATCGTTTTCTACAAGTCTTTAGTCATGAACTGAAGAGTGGGAAACCCGTCTGATCTCTTTTATTTTTCTTAAAAAAGCAGATCAATAACAGTTTTAAAAACTCTTCCCAACCTCGTGACTATCACCTGTACCTCCTCCATCCACTTTTCACTCATCCTGTAAACCTTCACCTCAGGGCGAGGAGGCTAAAAACATTCCTGGAGAGTCTGTGACCGAGGAGCAGTTCACAGACGAAGACGGGAATCTGGTCACCAGAAAAGTAACTCTCCTCTCCTCCTCCATTATGTGTTGCATCTTTTTGCTGCACTTTATACACCTACAGTCTCATTCCTACGTACCCTCCTCATCCTCCTCTTCTTCTTCATAATTCTTCCTCACAAAATACCTCACAGCCTCCCTTCTCCACCTCCTCCCCCTTAACATGCTTGTACCCCTTACAGGTGATCAGAAAGGTGGTGCGCCGTGTTTACAACTCTGAGGAAAGAAAGGAGAGTGAGAGCGACACTCTCACAGAAGAAGGAGTTGGTGTTGGTTCAGGAGCAGGGGAGCTGCTCCTTCAGCAGCAGGAGGAGGCGGAGCCACAGGGGGGAAGGGCAAGAAGAAGGGGAAGCGTTCCAAACAAGGCAACAAGGCCGAGAAGTCTGGAGAGGAGACCCAGAGAGGGAAATCAGAGGTTAAAAAAAAAACACCTGACGTAGTCTGCTGAGCTTTCCTGGTTCACTCACACCTGCATGAAGCTGATATACTGAACCAAAACACTCAATAGTAGAAGGCAAAACCAAACTGAGCAGATACCCAAATATAAAAAACCAGAGAGGCAGCATGCGCTAACCGACCATCATAAGACAGCAAAGCGCTGACGTGATCGATGGGGATAAAATAGAGCAATTGACGTGTATTAAATCAGTTTACGATGCAGCGAGAGGCCGGCTTTCCTATTCTTCACTTTAGGCCACAGAAGCAAGTACTTTGATACAAACTGACTATTTTCCAGAGAGGTGCCACCCCAAATGTCTTAACTATGATTGTTAATTTGCATTGCCAGAGGTGGGACTTAATGTTAAAATCCACATTGCAGGCTGTTTTGCAACAGTCAGCTCATAGAGTTCAGTGTGCAGATGTTTGTTTGCAATTTTTTTAAATACCTCTGAGAAACAACAAACGCAAACCAGAACACTTCCTGTACAAAAATATGATATAATCCCGCACTGAAGAATTCTGCATATATTCTGAATCTGTAAATAAAGAATGATTTAATCCAAACAAGTCACAGCCTGTAGCAGGCTCCTGTCTTTGATGATTATTAACAAGAGGATCAGGCAGACGGGACAAAAGATATACACAATTTTCCAGGCGAGTCAAATTAAAATTATTTAGTTAGGTGGAGAGGTCGGTGTATGAGTAAAAACAAAGACTACAGAATCGAATAAACATCCATCAAGGAGTATAAAGGACACTGCAAGTTTCCTCAAACATGAAAACCAACTCAAAATTCAAACACAAAAGTTCTGAATAGAAGTAAAGATTCAGTTACTTTTACTTTTGACTATTTTCTTAAAATATTCACTTAATCTAGATGGAAAAAAAAAATAGTAAGAGACAAGACATATTGCAAATTCTCTCTTTTTCGTTATGAGGCATTCAAGGCTTCAACACAAAATACAGATTTAAAAGAGACATGTTCTTTCCCTGTACGGAGTATTATAGTCAACACTGCCCGTTTGTAAGATGTGGGTGTTATTAGGCTCAGGGTCGTGTTGTGATCTCTACAAGAATCTTGAGTTGTTTGCTGTGAAAAAAGAAATCCCAGTTTGCTGTTTGTGTAGTGTGTCGTAGTAGAGTCAGACAGCCTTACTGTCTGTTAATGTGATTTGTATTTACAGTGTTCTGTGTGTGCTGTGTTCCTCTGTCCTGCCGTGTCAGCACTAATGTTGGACTACATCTCTGACCCCGAGTTGTTCCACAGTCCTGGCTCGTTGATTGGGCTTCAGATCTACTAACACTAAATGTTTTGGCTAATGTAGAAATGATGATTTTCCTCCTCTCTAACATGCTGTAGTGATGCACGTGTGATTTAAACTCCTTTTTCCTCTTCTTGATCCCGTCTCTCTTTCAGCACGTCGCCTGAGATCTGCTCACGTTATGTAGTTTAGCTCGACTAACACAAACCGTTCATCATTTGCAGAAGCAAAAAAATAACTTGTTTTTTTTCTATCTCTTCCTCCTTTTCTGTTCTCTCTCTCTCTTTGATGCACTTCAGCCTGGAGATGGTGCCAACAAGAAACAAGGGAAGAAGAGTCAATCATAACAGCAGAGCGCTCATCTGAACCAGGTAAGACGACAAAAACACGACTTCATTACAGAACACAGACCGAGGCTAAAGCCAGCCCTCAGTTAGCTTAGCATAAGGAGTGGAGACAAAGGGAAACTGCTAGCTTAGCTCAGTCTAAAGTTGTTAAATCCATCAAACAGATTCTAATCTAATCTAAGATTTCTAATCTAGTTGATCATATTCACCAAAAAAAAAAAACAACAAGCAGGAACAAAACAACACAATCTAGTTTTGTGGGAGACAAAGCCAAGCTAGCTAACAAGTCTCCAAGCTTTCTGCAAAGCTAAGCTAATTTCCTGCTAGCTCTCGCAGTATATTTACCTTACAGGCTTGTGCTGGTATGAAACTTCTCATCTAACTCTCAGCAAGTCAGATTTATTTTTTTCTGATTTGTCCGTACATGTGTCAGTCAACCTCAGGGTTGCTGCTGTACTGTAGCTTAGCTAGCCTAGCTAATCATACTAACAGGACCGGCTGCATAACAACTATGACAGCTTTCATACTGAAAAGGAAGTCGGCGTTTTCCAAAGAGCACCAGGAGAGTTACAACTTCTTTCAAAAGTAACAGCGAATGACTATACTGAGCCAATCTGTGGCTCGATACGTGTGGGTTTGTGGTCAAATTAAAGTGTCCTGATGTGTAGGTATGAAAATATGGTCACCCTACCTCCAGAAAATCCAGGCTCCCTCAGACCAGGATGAAACACTACAAACATTCATTTGTGCCTACTCCCATTAAGATTCTTTAAAAACAGAAATGTTGGATGTGCAAAGTGGTTGTGCAATATGTCAGAAGGTGTTTATGTATTGCCTATGAGCATTTGAGATATGAATCTTTTTTTAATATATTTCCTTCCAGGTCCACTGACGTCCACTTGCGACACCACACACACATCCTGGGAGGGAAAAACGGACTGGGAGCCTCGTCAACTCGGCCAAAATCGTGTCTGAAGCTTTCACTTTACAACGCATGATTTTCAGCAAGACAACGCAACAACAAGAGTTACTTTTCTTTGATTTCGCATGAGCATGTCACTCAAACTCACACACACTGTTGGAAACAACGTGGAAGGACACGCATGGACGTGACCTTGAACTTTTTATCTTCGACGAGACGGAAAGGGGCGTCTGTGACCAAAGATGGCAGAAACAGAAAAACAGGAATACGTGTGATTCATTCTCTCAAGACACTCGCCTTACATGGTCTATTTTTTCCTCCTGGACCCCACAGTATCGGGGGTGCACCGTGTGGTTCTTTTTTAAAAAAGATGATAGTAGATGGGTGATTTTTGTTGTATATAAATGACACTGTAAAAAAAAAATCAACAACAAAAATAAAAGAATCAGTAGCTTCACAGATTGTTTATGCACTGATTAGCGTTGAAGCTTCGCGGCGTCTGTGCGTTTGTATCGAGAGGTCGACGCAGTTCGAGGCAGCCTCGACTGTGTGCCTGACGTGCTCTTCCACATGAATTAAAAGGAACAACAACAAAAAACGCTGTTTGTTAACGAACGGAGGAGATGGAAAAAAAAACTGCTCGATTTGGACGTTTCTTTTAAGCCAACTGTTCTGCTCCTTGGTGGAAAAAGATATTCTGCTGCATGTGACGTCACTTTATTTCTAACGCCTTCGTTTTATTTTGCTCCCGATTCTAAAAGCACTGTAATACAACAAGAGAAGGCGGCCATGGTACTTCTGTCTGTGTGAGCACTCATTATAACCCAATCATCCGTCTAATGTAACTGATTTTTACAGACATGAAATCATACTCTTAACGCTGACAGACTGAAACTTTGATTAATCACAAATCAGCTAGCAGCCCCTGTGTGTGTGTGCGTTTGTGTGTGTGTGTGTGTGTGTGTGTGTGTGTGTGTGTGTGCAGCAATCAATTAAAAATGTCCTCATCCATACTGGAAGTCCAAGCTTTTAGTTCTGCTGTGGTTTTAAAAAAAGGGGACTGTTTTATTTTGATGGTTTGATTCCTTTTATTTAATTGAAAAGCCTGTAATAACATGAGAACAGAGAATCTCGTTTTTAGCTCCTTTTTACAAACTAAAATCACTAAAATCACAGTATTGATCACAAGCTGTTCATTTTCTCTTCATGTGTAGATCTTCTTTTTTTTCTTCTTTTCTTTTCTGTTTTGTCTTTTTTCATACAAAAACCACCCGAGTCATCTGTCGTTGATGATTAATCTGGTACCAACATGTATGACGAACCAACATAGCCTACACTGGATGATCCAAGTAATAATTATTTAAGCAGAAAAATAAATTGTTTAAACTGAACGTGTGTGAGTCTGTGTCGTTTCTCCTTATTCATTATGTTTTCAAAGTTTTGCCTAAAAAAGGAAGGCAGGCAGACCATTAAGACTAATTCATTAAGCAGACGCGTTTAGTGACGTACATCAGAGAGTAAGTACAACACAAGCAAAGATCTAAAGAAGAGGAAACAATGTCAGGAAGTCCATATGTAGAGCTTGAAGTCCACACAGGTACTGACAGGCAGAGCACATCAACAGCTGTTCTTGAGAGCTCTAATCAGCATCAAAACCATCCTGGATATCAAAATCATCAATATTATTAAGTGTGTAGGTGTTCATAAAGAGCTGGGTCTTTAGCTTTTTCTTAAAGGCGCAAAGGGACTCTGCAGATCTCCCAGTGTGAGTTTTATGAAAATCTATTTTAAAAAGTGAGGGGTAATAAAGAAATATCAGTGTAAAACATCAATTAGTTTGTTTTCTTTTTTTCACATAATTTTGTATAGTTTCTCTCCATCATGCCATCCATTGTTGTATAATACATTCACTTGTTGAATTAGTTGATTTGGGTATGTGATCAGGCTTACAAACATGGATAAACATAGGTCAAGGTCACAAGGTCACCTTTATTATCCCTTAGGGGCTTTACAGCAAGCAGTGATTAGAAAAAACAGAAATACACACAATTAACACTAAAATACACACATCAAGGAAGGATGATTTACATGATACTGTTGAGGAGGCAAAGTTTCAAATCTGTTTGTGTATATCTGCCACCAGATGGCAGCAGCTTGTACTCTGTGTAAAAGGAGGTGAGTGCAGTCCCCAAAGGTTAGCCTGTTCTTTCTTTGTAGCTCTGTCTCTGTATAAGCAGACACAGCTAGTAATTTAACATGATATGCAAAGTTTATCCTTTAAAAGAACATCTCTTAAGAACCATTCAAGCTTCTGTGCTGATTGATAGTGTGACCAGGCAATCTAAGTTGGTATATAGTATCATGCACAGAGGGACTATATTCCATATATACCGTGAAGGATCATGCACGTTGTTAAGTTACAACAAAATCTTGTCAACTTGCAAAATGACAAATAATTAATATCTCCTCATCGCACTCTGTTGGAATTCCATTTAGCTCAGTCTGTAGGGACTTGGGTTGGGAACCGGAGGGCCGCCGGCTCAAGTCCCGGCAAGGACCAAGTCCGGAAAATGGCCTGGTAGCTGGAAAGGTGCCAGTCCACTTCCTGAGCACTACCAAGCTGCCCTTGAGCAAGTCTCAGGCTCTCCTCAGAATCAAATTGCTTCCCGCACACTCCACACAAATCTTTTTCCGTCTCATATTTTTTGACATGCTTCAATAACCTGGATCTGTGGCAGAAAGACTTGCCGCACACTTTAAAACTACACTTCTTGTCCTTTTTTGAAATGTACGGTTTCTCTCCTGTGTGCGTCCTCATGTGCATCTCCAGGTGTCTTAGGCCGTCAAACGTTTTTGACACAAACTTCACAGCTCCTTTTCTGGGTGTAAGTTTGCAGGTGAAGTCTCAAGCTCTCATTAGACTCAAAACGTTTCCCGCACAGTCCACAAATATCTTTGTCCTTTTCATACTGCTTCACATGCTTCATAAACGAGGCTGTATCGGAGAGAACTGCTGCACACTTTACAACTACAGTTCAGGTTATCATTTAAAATGTTTTCAGGTTTTTTTGGGCCTTGAGCATCATCATCATCATCATCAGCCTGTTCACTCCCCCCCCCTCCCCCCCGCTGTCCCCCGCTGTCCCCCGCTCTGCTCTCCACCTGCCTGTCATCGGTTTGATTCCTAACAGTGTTTCCATCATTGTCTGGTTTTGAATGCACGTTTAAGCTCCCAACAGAGTCTGAATCTTTCGAACAGGCTCCACACAGTTTTGGGTCCTGTCTAACACCCTGAGTCTGTTTGAAGAACTCACCACACACTGTAAAAACAGATGCTTTTTTAGATGGCACAGCACTCAAAAACAACAGAAAAAGGAAAACCAGACGAGGCAGAGGGAGGAGGTAAGCGCCCCTGGACTACCACCTACTGACACGCAAATTCCGCTGAACCCAAATGAAGAGAGAGTAACCAACATTTCAGGTACACCTCTTTCCCCTGACTGTCTACAAATTCTATCTAAAGGCCTTTCATATGCCCCCACTAACAACACAAACCAATTTCAGACGAAAGTCGACCTGTATAGATTTTACCGAAATCTACATCTGAAGGCCTGGTATCACAATAAACATGCTAGGAGACAATACACAGATGAAGCCCTCAGGCAACTGGACGACACACAATATTATGCCCCATCAGCTTCCCGTTGAATCGATCAAAAAATTACTGAAAACTATTTTGGACAATGCTTTTGAAAGGAATTGGATCACTAACTGTGAACGGGACTTCCTTCACCCTTAAAACTCCAGATTATCTTATTTTTATTTACTCTTCAAAATCCATAAACACTTTAACTCTCCTCCAGGTAGACACATCATCAGTGGAGAAAGAAGGAAGAGCTATCAAAGAACATCCATGATCATGCTTTGGGGTTTCCTGGTTTGATGGTTGATGTGATCAATCAGCTCTTCAATTTTGTATCACAGGTGCTAATTGTATAGCTATTAAGGTTGCTAATCTCCTCTAAGAAATAGGGTGGATTAGGCCAGCAACTGTTCTTGCAGTGCTGCTTGGTCTGATTCAAAAGGAGTCTTAACTACTGGCTCACATAGGGTCTTGGCACACATTTTAAAATGGAACCCCAGTGACTCATAATTACTGTTAACGAAGCTGCTAAGCTGAACAAAGGTAAGTCAACAGGAGAGAAATATCATCTTGATTTTAAATCTTGTCGTGGTTTACTCTATCCTGGAAGCTACTCGCACCTCTCAGACAGCTGGATACTTTGGTGTTGGTTCAAGTCTCAACTGGACAAATGGCTTAATTGTTGCCTCAAACAACATAGAGCACAAAATTGAAGTATGCTTTGCATGAAATGATAAGTAAGTTTTCAAAAGAAAAAAAAAATCTTTAGAATAATTACTTCAGTATTAAAATTCTGGATTACTGTGCTAAAACAATGCGATTAAGCGGGTTTACTAGGTGACTCACACGGAGAACCAATTATGTTGGTGCTTTGAAGGCCTGACACGAGTCAATGTTGGGGTTTTGATGAGCTCACACGCGCACAACATTTATGTTGATAAACAAAACAAACAACTACTATTGGACTTACAAAAGAATCGTAGGAGACTAAAACTCACTGTGTATTTTGAAATAATACAAAGTGATAACATTTGAGACCAGAACATAGAAAGGAACGTTCATGAGCAACAGTTGTGACAGATGATTTAATATGTTTCAATCAATCACTATTTGATATCATATTCAACATTTACCTAGAGTTCCTCCATCGCAAACAGGGATGATTCCAGCTGTTTACTAGAATGTCTGCTCTGGAGTCTCCTTCACTGCTGTAAGGAACATGGATGTGGGATTCCTTTCAATAGAACTATCATTCATTTCTTCAGTTGACACTGGTGAATCAACTTCTGCCAAGTTTGGTCCAACATTCACAAAATAAAATAATAAAATTAAAGCTATTTGCCACCTCTTCCATATTATAATTTTCTTTACCATCATCAATAAAATACAGAGGATAGCTTATTTGTTTAGAATTACATTATTCTAAATTTCACATTATTTTATTATAATCTATTATTTTACTTTAGTAGTCCTACCTGCATCTCCTCAAAATATTAGTTAAATTGTTCATATATTTTTTGTATTTATTTTCTGCCTCTTCAGTTCTCTCGCAAAACAATATATTAGCACCTTTATGGTTGGCAAAGACTGTTACTTTAAAAAAGAAATGTTTTTAAAAAATTACACAACCTCCTTTCAATCACTGCTGTATATACACAAAATGTCAGGAGGTCTACACTGTTTATGTACAGGTGGGCACATCTATCTATTTCATCTATTTTATCCTTGTACAGGTTATGTACATTATTTTTATAAGTCTATGTTTTGATTGCACAGTTTTAATTTTGAGTGGGGCTTCTATAAACCTTTATCCTGGTTAATATTTATGTATGGAAGGGTGGACAACAGTTGTTGTTTTGATGTAGAAATTGTTCCATGTTGTGCATGTCTTTGTAAACTGCTACAGGATGCTTTTATTTCCCCTGAGATCAGTAAAGGATCCATCTATCTCCTGTATCTATATCTTCTATAGCCGGTGTAGCAGCAGACAGAAATGAGGACTTTGGTGTACAGCTTGATGATCAGATCTGGTGCAAAGTTTTATACAATGCCAAAAAAGAAAATCACAAAATCAGTCAGATCAATCTTTATTTGCATAGCGCCAATTCATAACAAGTGTTATCTCGAGACACTTTATAAAAGCAGGTAAAAGACCTTACTCATTGTTATATTACAAAGACCCAGCGTTAGCCCATATAGCACTTAGCAACATTTAGCAAAAAATACAGTGGGAAGAAAAATTCCCTTGAAACTTAATATGAGACGGTAAATAAATTCAAACAGAGATTGAGAAATGTATTGACATTACAACCATAATGGATACAAACATGTAATGTATTCTTGTTGTAAGCTTCATGTCTGTTCAAAGTCAAACATGTTCTGTATCATGATGTGTGCAGCACGCCTTTCAATCCTGCATGTTTGGCTTCATGTACATACACCTACATTAACAATTTAGTACAATGAATGATTATCAATTCTTCCTCACGAGAGGTTGTCTGACCCATAAATGAGTCTGTGTCTGATGTATTGCAGGGAACCTTCCATGAGAATTTTGTTCTCCCTCTTGTATGTTTTTTTACCCATGTACTTTGTGTTTACGTTTTGAATGTTTTGTATGTGTTCATATGTGATTCAATGCTAATCCCATGATATCATATGAAATGTTATTAAACAATAAAAAAGACAAAGTAATCTACATATTAGCATAATAATAAGTAAATAAAACCGCAAGCGGTGATGAAGGGCCCTCGCACCCCTGTGCATGTCGGGGTGTGTTGCAACCGCGGGAGTGCAGCAGCAGTGGAACGTGGGCTAAGCAGCTGGCCGTGCAGTCCGATTTGTGTAAAAGTGGTACTATGGTATGCTGAAATAGGCAGCGTAATGAAGATCACAGAACATTTTGACGTAGAGCAGTTCAGGCTGGCACTGTCATGATAGCTATGAAATATGGAGCAAATTGAGCATTGTGTAGTACTTATTCCTTGCAGTAGGAGGCGCTATGGTTAAAGTTGACTATTGTCATGTCAGTGTGTTCAGAGGCCAACCCTGATCATACATGTGTAATTTGAGGCAGATCAGACAAAGTATATGAGAGTTACAACCACTTCCTGTTTGACGGCGAATGATGCATCCATATGGCGAGATCATTGGACGTAGGTGTTTGAGCTTGAAAGTGTTGTATGGCCAAGGTGTTAGCATGGTCCACACCAATTCTGAGTGGGAAATGAGCTACCTTGTAGCAATGGCTAATGCTAACTGAGATGCAGTAACTTCCTGTTGTCAACAGGTGGCGCTGTGACAAAGCAAAAAATTTCAATCATGGATGTGTTCAGGGCGGGCTCTGTATCATGTATGAGACATTTTAATATGATTGAACACTGCATGGCAGAGATATAAGCATTTACTTTTTTGGCAAGTTGCCAAAATGCATATCAAACGTTGCACGCACGCCACGGCCACGCCCTTTGACAAAATAACGTGCAGAGCACAACGGGATATGTTGAACATGTCTAGAACACACTGACACTGAGTTTGCACCGATCAGATGAGCGCCCTCGGCCAAGATCCTTCAAATAGGAAGGCTGAAATCTGCGATTATTTGTGAAATTCAACTTTAATTTGTGGACTTCCTGTTGGGATTTTATGTCCGTCCTGACAAGCTTAATACGTGTAGCAATGTTCATGAATGTGCGTCAAAAAACCCTCTATGGGGAGGCCATTTCGAAAATTTGAAAAGGGCGCCACTGAAACCACCAAAATATCAAATGTATCGCGAGACCTGATGACCGTGGAAAGTTTGGTGAGTTTTCACGCACGTTCAGGCCCTCAAAATCGCGTTTAAAATGGAGGAAGAAGAAAAATGATAATTCCTAGGGTTTCAAGAGGGCCCTACGCACTTGTCAGTGCTTCGTGCCCTAATAATAATGATCATGTCATGGTTTGTTTACAGTAAAATAAAGAGTAACCACTAAATGTTATCACTCTATCAATAAGAATTACAACGACGCACATTAAGCCTTTGCATATGAATAACAGACAGTGTAAATTAGTTGAAAATGAGTAATTTCAACACTCAATAACTGCTACTATTTTTTTCACAGATCCACCGTTTGGTCGCATCACATCTGTCATCATTCCAGTTTTCCTCTTTTATATTTATTAGAGATAGATCGTAGAGATGACCACAGTCTTCATCAATTCCAGGATTTCCACCATCGTTATTAGGCTCACCTCTCACCCAGTACCTTTAGGAAATCAATATGATAGAGATTTTTTCAGTTTGAAAAATAACAAATAAAATAAAACGGCTTTTCTGCTTTTTTTCCTGTGATGTTGTTTGTTTAGTTGATGTGACTTTTAGCTCCTCTGACCTGATTTAACTAATACATGTTTGTCCTTCATGTAAGAAGTGTTTGACCTTTGATTTAGGAATGAATTATTTGGTAATTAAAAATAGCTGGTGATAGATCAGAACAGTGGTGTTTGTGCATGAATTAAACCTGAGGTCTAAACATTTACTGTGTGCCTTACGCTTGAGTCAGCGCAGTGCCGTCCGTCCATTTCCAGATGCCCTCGTTGTCACTGTCACTCAAACCAATCCAAGTGTGACTCACGATGTTGTCCGTGATGAATTCCTGTTGAAGGTAGAGAGCCTGTATTTATTTATTTAACTTTCATTGTATAATATTTTCAATTGTAAGATTAATCACTTGGAGAAAAACAATCATAGCAAAGATAAAGTGCAGAGGGGTCAGTAGAAGAAGACCTTTCTTTAGTAGTGATACAAAGTGTTGCTGTTTGTATACAAACTAAAGTATAAGCATCAAAGTTTTATTAAAGTGCTTTATGCAAAAACATTCATCAGGGATGTGATTCTTCCAGATTTATCTGGAATTCAGGATTTTACAACCTAAATTGAGATTAAAATATCAGTGAGTGCCCTCCAGCACAGGTGGACCATGACTGTGTGGTTTGACCGTGAGTAATACCCACAGTTCATATCCGTACTTGTTGTGTAACGTGGTGTCCCCATGTACTTTAATACATTGGATTACATTTAACCATTAAAAAAGGTTAAATTGTGTTCTGAAAATACGATATTTATGTAGCTTTTTTTAAAGGTATTTATTTCTGTTTGAGCAAGGTAGTGCAAAATTGATTTAAGAAGTTTTGAGGCAAGTTGAGTCAATTGTATCTGTAAAGACAAAATTAAGAAATATGTCTCAGTGGGCTTTTTCTAAATTCATAGAACATCCTATTATTTACACCCCTGATTTTGATTGAAAAAAAAAACACCATAAAGAATGGTAAATGGACTTAAGCTTATATAGCGCTTTTCTAGTCTTCCAACTAATCAAGGCGCTTTTACACTGCATGTCACACCCACCCACTCAATTCACACCCTTTCACTCATTGATGGTAGTGGTCGCGATGTAGTATCATGTAGTAACTAATTTCATTCATACACCACCACCGAAGCAGTGGGAGCAATTCAGGTTTAATTGTCTTGCCCAAGGACACATCGGACATGTCGCCCAGCTGGGGATCGAACCCTCGACCTTCTTGTTGAGAGGCAATGACTCTACCAACTGAGTCACAGTCGCCCAAGAACACATGACCTGTTCTCCAAAACTGTCCACGACCACCAGATCTGCTCCTCTGACTCTGCAGTCTTGTCTGCTGTCTTGCCAAGTCTTAGTCCGGTCTGAGAAGAGATAACAGGAACCAATGAACGACATCCATCCTGCAGGACAAGTTCTAGCTGTAACACACAACAAAAAACAAACATTGAAGAGCAGACAAAAAAGACACATGTGCATGTAGAAACTGTCAAACGAAGGTAGACAGATGTGTCCAAGATAATCTCTTTGTTTGGCCTGAGAGATCAGATCTCAATGTGTCCTGGATGTGTTTACACCTGTACTCAAGGCTTTTCTTTTGTTATAAGATCCCTCAGAACACACGTTAACACCAGTTGTAAACAGGACCATGTAGTTATACCCTTAAATGGAGTCAAATTCATTATGAGATCATACCATGTGGAGCTCGAATATAATTATAAGTTGAACTGCATATAAAAAAGTTAAAAGTCTGTCAAATGCTGATAGTGTCACTTGGAATCAGTGTCCACATTTAAATGCACAGTATGAATAATCCGCTGACAGGGGGCTCTCAATCAAAATAATAACAAAAGATGGCGTAGAAGTTCGCAGGGAATCATGGGAGTGATTACCTCTGCTACTACTAAAAGTGGAGCAGGCCATAGATGGTGTGGACAGACTTTTCTCATCATTGGGGGGTTTGTAGACGGACTAGGGACACATATTAGTGTTACAAAAACAATGGTGAAGTGTATTTTGTATAATATGTGACTTTAAAGGGAAAACTGACAGTCAAAATAGTTTGCAGAAGTGAGAGTAGGAGTGAACATATTCTCTGAATAATGAAACTGGTTTGGTCCTGACATCAATGCTAAAAGACAGTCGTGAGCAGTAACCACACAGGAAGATCACTCACTCTGGTTGACCAAACACTGAAGTCTTTGCAGCTCTTCAGTCATTTCAGTGAGGGTTGCATTCAACAGGTCTCTCTGTTCAGTCAGGGAGGACAGCTGGTTCTCTCTGTCCTGGAGATGCTCGGTAAGATTTGCTTCGATGGCAGACGAATGACGAGCTAAGTCGTGGCCTGAAATAAATCAAAGATGCATGTTTCTTTACATAAAAAAATACCACATGCATCCACACAGTCATCTCTGCGGTCTTGTCTGCTCTCTTCCCAAGTCTCAGTCTGGTTTGAGAAGAGATAACAGGAACGTGAGAACAACTTCCATCCTGCAGGACAAGTTTTCTCCGTAACACACGACAAACATCAAACATTGAATAGCAGACAACAAAGAAACATGCATAGACACACTGTCAAACTAATGTGGACACATGACTCCCATACCACCTCCTAATTTGGCCTGTGATCACCTCAATGTGTCCTGAATATGTTTTACACCTGTACTTATGGCTGTCCTTTTATGATCGGTTCACTCAGAACATGTTAATAACAGTTGTTAACATGATCTTTTAGTTTACTTTTATTCCAAGTCTTCGTCCCATCATGAGATCATCACGTGAAACTAGAAGTTTATTTAAAGTTGAAATGAAGATCAAAACGTGAAATGAAGTGAAAGTCTTTCAAATGTAGATTCTATCACTTAGAGTCAGTGTCAACATTCAAAACATGACAGTCTGATATAAGCAGCATTTTTATATTAACCACTAATTACTAATGAGATATGGTAAGATTTGATAGGTTAACAAGATTTATAAAACACAAAGTTAATGTTCTAAAGCAGTGGTTCTCAAACTATGGTACCCGTACCACCGGTGGTACGTGGGCTCCCTGTGGTGGTACACAAAGAAATCTCCACAATATGAAAAACAAACCCGTTCAGCATAAAGCAACATTTTTCTTTGTCATACTCTTATCTGTCTTGTATCTATTGGGTTGTATTTATATCAAACGTGTTTTCCCCTCTAAATGAATCTAGTTTTTGCAACAAACAACTTTAATCTGCTCAATTTATGCTCGCGCACAGACATAAACAACAACAGGAGTACGCCTCGCATTTTGAAAAGTTCCACTCGATATTCCGTTATAGTTCAGTACTGAAATAACAGAATATCTGTTAATGTAGGCCTACATTGAGAGATATTCTGTTATTTATTGGAGTTCAGCACACAATCCGCAGCAAGCAGCTGTACAGAGTGAGTGATCTTCCTGTGTGGTTACTGTGAGCAGTAACCACACAGGAAGATCACTCACTCTGGTTGACCAAACACTGAAGTCTTTGCAGCTCTTACACTAACTGCTGTACATTAACATTTTTAAAACAGAGCCAGGAGAAGCTTCAGTTTGGATGCATGTACGGACAGCGGACCTTATCGCTCCCCCTCCCTCTCTCTCTCTCGCTCTGTAGCTCTGAAGCTGATGTGCTCTCTTATAATGTCTTAACAATCCGTAGGAGTCGAGAGGGATTTTTTTTTTAAAACGCAGTTTTGCTATGTTGAACGCAGAGACTTATAATAAAGCGGCGCTGTTTGCACGGAGCCTGCGGTTGGCATTCAGCAGGTCTTTACATAAAGCAAAACTCATGAATCCACACAGTATTACTGACTGAAGTTTTTTGTTTGAGTCATGAGCTCATGGCTCAGACAACTAACCAAAACAAGATCTTTCCTTTCTCCACCAGACTTAGAAAAAGTCATCCATGCATTTCTCTCTTCCAGACTATTTGAATATTTTAATGCTCTTTATACCAGCATCAGCAAATGTAACATCCAAAGAGTGCAATTCATTCATGGAGTGGGGGAGATAAAAATAAAGGATCACAGGAAGGCTTGACTACAAAAGTGTGTTTTTAGAAGAGACATGAAAGAGGAAACAGTGTTGGCCTTCCTAACATCCTCTGTAAGGTTGTTCCAGAGTGTGGGGGCCCTAGTGGCAAAAGCTCTGTCACCTTTTTTCTTTAATCAGAACTCTGGAACCACCAGGAGAGCAGCATTTGAGGACCTCAAAGTCAGTGATGGTACATGGTGAGTTAAAAGGTCAGAAATATAACTTGGGGTCAAACTGTTGTGGGCTTTAAAAGTGATAAGTAAAATTTTAAAATCGACTCTAAAACTAACTGGCAGCCAGTACAAGGATACAGGATTGGCGAGATGTGCTGCCGCCTCTTAAACCTGACATCTTTCTGACATTCATAAGCAGGGCCCTATAGTTCCTAAACCCCCCAATTATTACACATTTAGTCAGAATATACATATTGTATATATAATTTATTTTCACAACTTGATAAGGGCTTGATATGGAAGTGCATCAAAGTTTATTTTCAGGTCCAACATGGTGCTGTAACAATAAAGACATTCAAATGATTTAAAGAGACAATATTTAAAACTTATTTTTTATGTATCCCTCATTCTTTAAGGCTGAGAAGAAAGTTAAGAAAAATGTGGACAAAGGTACAGAAAAAGACAGGGAGAAGCCAAGACTGGGTTAATTTCTCTGAGCCAAAAGCCAGAGAAAATAACACGTGACCCACCTGATCTACAAAGATTTCTAAACAACCGACTCACAGTAGATGAAGAGGCCGATGATACCAGCCAGAAAGAAAAAACTCAGGGGCAACAGAAACCAATAAACAGCTCTGTGACATCTCCTTTGTGAGCTCCTGGGACCTGAACACAGAAAGGAGCGTTCAGGAGCAACAGTTGTGACAGATAATTTAACACGTTTCAATCAATCATTATTTGTATAGCGCCAATTCAAAAAGCAGGTAAAAGTTTCTGCACAACTCGGTCTAATCAAACACTCTTACCTCTCTGAGATGTTGAACGAGCTTTGAATTCAATATTTTCGTAGATGTCCTCCATCGCTCACAGGGATGATTCCAGCCGTTTACTAGAAGGTCGGCTGTGTTTAACCACTGAAAACTCCTTTAAGTATCAAGTTTGAGGTTGTTTTTTTTTACTTTTGAGGAAGTGACAAGTTTCAGAGGTTTTACTCTTGTGAAGCCAATGAAGCGAGGTGAAAAGAGTACTAAATTATTCTACTCAAGTAAAAGTACTGTTACTTTAATAAAATGTTACTTAGGTACAAGTAAAAGGAACTTGTTTAAAATGTACTTTAAGTAAAAGTTACTTTTAAAGTAAAATGTTTTTTTTTTAATTTACGAGAATAAAGTTGTAAATTAACGAGTTTGAGACCAGCCTGCGCAAAATGATGAAAGTAGAACTCAGTATTTTCCTCTGCAGACAACTTCCTCCAAGTCAGTGTGGTTCTTTCTTCAGTTTCTTGCAGTATCTTTTCAGGGTGCTGACTTTTTAAAGATGTGAAGATGATGATGTGCCAAAAGCATGTGTAATTTCATATCTGCATAAGTAAAGCCCAAACACAACTGTTTGTGTCTGTTATCGGTCTGCCTTGTTAAAGTGTCTCATGTGCAGAGACAGTTTGTGTCCTGTTCATCATTTTACAGATAAACAAGGTCTTGCAAGTTGAAGTGAAATCTTCTCTTGAACTGTTTTTACTGATGTAATAGAAAAATATATGTTCTTGCTTATGCATTGAACACATACGAATTTCTGCACACACATTTAACACATACAAATTTCTGCACACACATTTAACACATACGAATTTCTGCACACACATTTAACACATACAAATTTCTGCACACACATTTAACACATACGAATTTCTGCACACACATTTAACACATACGAATTTCTGCACACACATTTAACACATACGAATTTCTGCACACACATTTAACACATACGAATTTCTGCTTGCACAGTGAAAAAACACGTACACAAAACAACACACGAACATAACTGTCATGACATAACTATAGGCAAGTCTCTAGGCAGATTAAGACACATCAACGTGAGTCAACCAATGAGAATGCCCTGCTTTGGGTCTGGTATAAATGTCTCGATGTAACCGCTCCCGAGCAGGATTCTGCTATGCATTTTTGATGATTGTCACTCCTGTATAAGTTTCCCCCTTTTGCAAAAGAAACCCTATTATTCTGATAATAAAAGACAAAGACAAAAAACGGTTTGACTTGAGATCTCTTGTTAAATACAGAAAAATCCACGACACCGACTACACAAGCAAGTATTCTATTTCCTTATTAGTGAAACCTTTAGGACAAGATGCTCCATGTTTGTCATTTCAGAACAGGATGCTGCTGCTCTTCTGATATAGACTAAAATAACCACTTTATTCTTTTATTCTTTAAAGACTTTTAAGAGTTCTACTTTCATCATTTTCACGTTAAGATTAAACTCGTAAATTTAAACTGTACTCAAAGTGTGTTATATTTTACAGTAGATTTGTACACACAAACAAAGCAAATAACTATGAGAGCATACTTTCAAACTTTCAGTTAAATCTTGATTTAACTGATGTACATATGTTTGATTTTGATTTTGATTTTATTTTATATTCCTTTTTTCTGTTTTCTTGAGCTGCTGTAATGCAAAAATGTCGCCCATGGGGGATCAATAAAGTTTATCTTTATCTTTTATCTTTATTTTTTTCACTACTCCGTGTTCGAAAAGGGTGCAGGATGAAGTGAAGAAATTACTTTATGTAGTCCTACCCCTTTTTTTCTTTGAAGCTTTATCAAATAGTCCAAGGCCTAATCTTTCCAAAACATTTTAATGAACTAAGCAGCAACAAATTAAATATATAACATACATCCATTAATCATAGAATTGCATTTTGCCCCAGTTTTTGTTCCACTGCATTTTTTTAAACGTGCAGCGACCCACAAATGTTTCTCAAAGCTCAGCGTTCACCACATATGTCAAGTGCAAATCCGGAAAAAAACAGTCAAATATTGAATGTTCAGCTGACACCAATGACCTTATGTGCACTGACTGATATACAGACAGGCCATGACGTGTGCATCTTCGTCATCCCTGCATGTCAGGTTAAAGGTCAGGGCTTTATATCTTACTCTGGCTTTATCCAAATGTTTTCTTTATCATGTGAGGTTGTAAAAAAACAGCCATTACGTTAACCACAGGGTATTTATGGATTTTAGGAAGGGGGTTGTTTGAGTATATTTTTGTTGAACAGAATAAATGTTGAGTTTTATGTTTTCCAATTGCTTGCTAAATGTACAGTATTGTCTCGTTATTATGTCTGTTTATTTCTGTGCTTACCATGTTTTAAGTCATACATCTATATGATTTAGTTCGTTTTTTTAATAGGATGATATGACATCCATGACTAGTGTGCATGCTCCACCTCAGATGGTCATCTATACAAATAAACACACCTCAACAGGCCAGCACGTGCAGAATGGAGAAAAACACACAAAAACAATTATGCAATAAAAAGAACATGAAGAAATGCTGTGAAAAAGACTTACGTCATCATTCAGGAATACCTGTACGGGCCACCTTAAAATATGTTTGAAGTTGAGTCTAAAAGTACAGAGACCCAGTTAATTCATTCAATTCAAACGGTCAAAATGTAGACTGTCCGGTTTTTATTATGGATAAAAAGTTGTTAAAGAAGGAAGGGTCTTTCCATAAAAAACATCAACTAGCTCATAGCTTGGTCACTGGTTTGGCTTCCTTCCTATATGCATTCTTAGAGTAATTTCTTAACAAATCTTAACACAGAGTCAAAACATTTATTTTGATTATTGAGTATAACTTACCTTCTCAGGAGATAACTTTACATTCAAATCAGTATTTCTGAATCCTTACAGCACTGGGGATGTTTCCATCTTGCAACACACCTGATTCAAATGAACTGGTCATTATCGGGCTTCTTGATTAGACGATCATTTGAATCAGGGGTGTTGGAAGAGGGAAACATCAGAAACATGCATGGTCATTTATCTAAAGTATAATATCTGCTCTACAAACAGGAACTTCCAGTTGCTAATTTGGCTGAGGTTAAATGGTACTGATTGGCCGAATCATGTATAGATTTACAGGTGTTAGATAACAAGACTCAAGATGTAGCTTGTAGGGAGGCTAATAGCTAACCCGCTAACCTGCGACATTATACTTCCTATTTGCATCTCAAAGCTTCCTAATGATGAAGAGTTTAATTCTTAGTGGGAGTGGCATGTTGGGAAATGTTCAAAGTTATTGTTTCTTGAGGAGGCTACTCTTTGCAGTACTTTGAGCACCTCTGATATCTAAAGTATCAACAGTTGCAGATGATATACAACTATTCCTTTACAATAGTTAAAAATTTAATATTTTCAACATGTATTTGTACAATAGGTTCAGAATTTTTTTAAACGTAGAAGCTTTTAATTGTTTATGATTAATTCATAATTTATAGTTTGGTGATGAAATAAGCAATTAAATATGAAACAAATGTTTTGATACATTCTGACCATTTTTTATTAAAAATATTCAAAACAACAGTTTCAAAAATACTTTTCATTGTTCTGAAAAACTCAATAATATTTAAAATACATAACCATGTTAAAATGACATATAAAAAGTGTGACAGTTCATAGCTTTAAATGAGGTTTAGCATGACACATGTAAGGAATTAGTCATTAGGTGTGGAACTTCAGAAATTTGTTATTATCCCGTTTGTTAAATTCAAATTTCGAAAAACACAATTGCCAAGTGCTCCAGGGTATCGTGGATGCTGCTTTCACAGAAGTCACAGAGTTCAGTGTCCAAATGACACAATTGGCGATGTCCCATCGACGCATTGGGGGTTTTCCTGAGTAAAAGTTGGACTTTGAATGGAGTGAACCCCTCAATTTTTCTCATATTAAAGGGACTCTGCACTCCCATTTCTTGAGTCTGTAAAATCTGAGTTCATTGCTCAAACTCCCTTTTTGCTCTGCATGTTGAGAGCTCCGTTCACACAGTACGGGATTAAGCTGACAGTGATGAGCGGCACGGTGGCGCTCTTGCAGAAAGACAGCAGGTAGAAGAGTGCCGCGATGTGCGTGGGAGGCTTGAAGGAGTCGAACAGGTGCAGCAGGAACAGAGAGCTGAGAACACACCCTGTTTTCACCAACTTGCTGTTGCTCTTCTTGGTCTCGGTGTAGAGAGGCGAGTGCAGGCCCAGACCCAGGCCAAACAGGGTGCCCATGTTACGCAGGAGGCTGGCAAAGGGCGTGGAGTCTAGGTGGACCCATTCGGGCTTTATGCACCACTTCTGGGCTTTTTCCAGGGTCCACAGGAGATCCACACCCAGAGCTTTGAGTACGAGGTAGAAGCCGACAGCAAAGGATGTCAAGAAGAGCGTCGTGTAGAAATACTTCTTCATGCTGGCGTTGTAGATCCACTGAGTTCTGTTGAATGCTTCGGCCACGATAATACCTAGAACACATTTAAATACCGACATAAATATGAGATCGACGACACAAAAACACAGATTTTTACCATTATTATGTCTTTGAATCCGCGTGTTCTTACCTGTGATAACACCAGCAACGACCTGGTGGGGGAAGTGGGCAGCGATGAAGACTCTTGAGAGACAGACACACACCAGGACTCCACAGAACAGGGTCCACAAAACTGCCTTGAGGTACCTGTCAAAACACAATTTCACACAGCTGAATAAGCAAAAGAAAAGTGTTTAGAATCCCCCCCCCCCCCCCCCCCCATTTGAGTGATAAGCTAAGGATGGAGAGAAAAATGTAAACAGCACCCATGCATCGAGAGGAAAACATTGTACAGTTTTCCGACTCACCAGTGCTTGTCGGTGGATTTCTTGCCTCCATATTTCTTCTTGCTCGTCATAATGGCGAGGATGGATGTCACCAGGGTGTAGTAGACTCCGGCGGCTCCCATAGCGTGACCAGACGGGCTGCCTGTACAACACAAACAGAGGCGGGAGATATCAATTCACTCACACAGGACAAAGACTGTAGTGTTTAAATTGATAGTGGCTGAATGAATGGATGACTGCAAACATGGATGTAGGATTTGAGGCAGCACTTATTGAGACAATACTGTACTGAAGTACAACATTGAGGTATGGTAAGGTTTATCTATATACCCCTCTAGTGCTTTTGTACATGTATTCAACTGCTGTGGTTAAAGTTAAGATTTCACCACTAAGAATAAATGTTTTTAAAAAAACCTTCAATGGGAATGCATTACACAGTATCAGTCTCCGACCACTTGCTTGAATTTATTTATATACATTAACACTCTTTTAATGAAATATATGACACTATCACTTTTGATCCAGAGAGTGAATTTGTGGTGTTACTAAGCGTATACCTTTAAATACCAGACTTCTACTCGTGTCGTGATAGAGGATCTTTCACAGTTCATTTGTCTTCATCTTTTCGTAAAGTTTAGGTTTTGAGTTATTCAGTGAACACTAATTAAATTAAAATCCTGTGCATGATTACAAAGATCAACCTTAAGAGTTCACAGTTTGAGAACTGATTTGAAGTAATATGTTTAATAACAATACATTTTGACTTGGTGTTTTGTTGAGAAAATAAAATAGATAAAAGCAGAAAAAATTATCAACAGATGTGTTCATTGTCGCATTGTTTGTAAAATATGTGAATGTTCTGCACAAAAACACAATATCCAAAAATGGCTAATAAGCATTCTGATGGGTCCTACTTGATCAATATCTTTAATTGTTGGTTATTCTGAGTCAAATCAAATAAAAATGGATAGGAAACTGTGGCCATGCTGTACTGTATTCTTAATTGTATGCAAAGCACAAAGGGGAAATCAAGCAAATCAAGCCATGCTTAAAGTTTCTCACCTGGCCCGGTCTCGCAGGTCATTGGGTACTGCTCAATGTGAGGACGATCAGAGTTTGAATAATGAGCCGTCTCATGGACCCACCAGTAAGGCCTCTCCCCAAACAGAATCCTGTAGAGCAAACAACAGGACATGGCACTCAGGTATAGTCTTTAAAAAATATTGCACACATTTATATTCCTGCAACTTTTCTCCAAAACTTCTAATTCAAAGATTTTTTTTTTTTTACTTACCATTTGAACACCAAGTTGAGCCAGTCTCCGATCACTGCCACCCAGATGAGTTTGATGGCCACAGAAGAACGCAGGTGAAACCAGAGCGGGAAGAAGATGAAGAAGGTGTTCCTGAGGTCCGCAGCCCAGGACACCCAGAGGAACAAACCTTGGGCGTCCTGATAGTTAGTCTGCAGGTAATGGGTGGTGCTCACCCCAAAGCCCTGCATGACATCCATTATAGAATTGATAGCATTCATGTTCAATAGGAGAAAGAAAAGTCAGTGTGGTGTTGTGTGAGATAGAAAACAAGACTGTTGCTATCAGTAACACAGCTGGTTGGTTTTATACCAGAGGCACCCACTACTCAAACGCATGCTCACACTGATCTTTGGACCTTGCACATGTGTAATAAAACACCGAGAGTCAGGAGAGTTTGGGAGGATTGTCACACAAACAAGTTAAAAAGATAGCGGGAAAACAAAACGTCATTATGTGACATTTTCACTGGAATTGGACGCAGCAGAAAATGGAAGTCAGATCACATTTTTTAATCGAAATTATCACAAACAAACAGCTTGTGAAGCATCATTTGTTTCACACTGAACATGAAAATTTTCATATTTTTTACAAATTTAGTTAAACATCCTTTATATGTGCATGTACAAAATTGGTTAGGACCAAGCTAATTTGTTAACCATCTTGTTAGATATCCGCCTCAGTAACATTGTGATTATTTGCTACTGGATTATTGGAAGTTCCATCAGAATCAGAATCAGATTTATTGGCCAGGTATGCTTACACACACAAGGAATTCATCACACAAGCGTGGGATGCTAAAATGCTGTTATCGGAAGGCTTCTGAAAGTTGTATCACTGCTCATTAGCTAGCCTACTGCAAGACGCCAGAACGTTAGCATTCAGCCACTTTATATGTAGCATTATTTGATAGGACATAAGTCAATTCCTAACTTACATTATTGTATGTTAGGAACTCGCTAAATGCTAATGTTAGCTAATATTAGGTTTCAGCAATTACATTTTTTAGTACGGTAGTAACAGGATATAGTTGAAAAACAGACTAAATTCAAAGCTACAGGTAATGTTAGCTCAGCATATGTTTGATGCTAACATTAGTTGTTGGCTAACAAGCTAATGCGTCATCAAATCTGCTATTGTTTGATAAAGGAAGCTAAAGCTACATGGTTAGCTTTAACTTTCCCAATTTAGTCATGTTGTATTTTACTCACTTTAACCCTTTTTTAACATTATAAATATTATCAAGTGGGTTTGATTGAACATACAGTATGTGTTCCATAAATCTTTATTTTGGTTTTTACGTTTTGAATTTTTCTTCTTTTTTCTATCCTGTTGTACATTTTCTTCTGTCGACATTTTACTTCTAATCAATTTGGTTTTACTTTCCATCATTTTATTGCGGCACTGTATCCTTGTTTAAATGTTCATCCTGCCTGTTTTCATGGGAATTTATTTTCTTAATCGTGAAGAAATCTGAACTGCCTTTTTTGTTTAAAAGGTGCTGTAAAAATAAAGGATCTCAGTATGATTATTATTATTGATTTCTTAGAACAAATAGCCTACTCCACTGTGCTTAGATTGATGCTAAAATTCACTGTGTGACATTTTTTCTCTTTGTTTCCCATTCATGAAAAGGACTGAGCAATACTTTGTCAGTTATGTAATTGCTTTTTTGGTGATTTGGTTAAAGATAAAGATAAACTTTATTGATCCCCCGTGGGGGAAATTTATAAAAAATAAAAATAGAAGTTAAAAAACAGATCAAACATATTTACATCATTTAAATAAAAAAATAAAAAATAAAAATAAAATACAATAATGTAAAAAAATACAATAATGTAAATGTAAAATTACACAGTAACTTGTTATTAACAAAATACACACAGTGTGTAGCATGAGGTGGTGATGTTGTTAAATAGTCTGATTAAACAGTCTGACGGCAGATGGAATGAACGACCTGCGGTAGCGCTCTGTCTTGCAGGGTGGGTGTAAAACATCTCTCTGGCAGGGGTTACATAAGGAGATAAATTATTAAGTGATTGGCTTTGGACTGAGTCAAAGCCGAGGAGATAATCAGTGATAAAAGTGAAAATAAAAGGAGATTAGAAGATTGTTTTCATTCTTTTATGACAAACAAATATTCCTGTGAAGTTTAAGATGATCTACTTTAAGGGATGTTTGCGATAACAAATCAATCATTTTCTCACATTCAGTTCCATAGGTGGGAACAAACAAATGACTCACTTTTTACACACTTGATGCAATGCAGAACACAAATTGTGAGCAAAGATCAATGGATTTCATAAGCAACCAGAGGCATACACTTCATTGATCACAGAAAAAGAGATTTCCTAGAAGTCAGTGATCTGTAAAAGGGGCGGAAACTGTTCACTATAATGGGGGCCACAGGGGCGTAAAGGTTAAGGAACCTGTCTGCACTGTCCCAAAGGCAAACAAATTTTCCAGCCTTGAGTAAAGTCCAATGGGGATCACACAGCGGCAGCAACCTAGCTTGTCAAAAAAGATCCCAGATTTGGTGTATCAACCTCAGGCAGTGGCTGTGATATCATGGATCTTCTACACAGCTGGGGGGTCGAGTTGGCGGTTCACCTGCAGACCAAATACGACAAATACGAAGGCTTGTTCAACCTGGCGTCCACAGTGGCCGATCTGCACACTGCCTACTTCTGGTTCTTCCCAATTTGGTTCCACCTGCGCAGAGACACGGGGCTCAGGCTCATATGGGTGGCGGTGATTGGAGACTGGCTCAACTTGATCCTGAAATGGTAAGATGTTGAAATGTTTCGGCAAAGTACTTTTAAAAAAACATGCAAAGAGAAAGAGAGAGCAGCTGTATCTTCAGTTTCTTGGTCTCTCAATGCCAGGGTTCTGTTTGGAGAGAGGCCTTACTGGTGGGTTCACGAGACCCGCTTTTATGGAGCAGCACCGACCCCTGATCTGCTGCAGTTTCCCATCACATGTGAGACAGGACCAGGTACATGAAGTAGATCACATAATTATCGTCCTTTTCCTTTTGGAATTGATTTTGACTGTTACAATAAAACGACTTATCTGGCTCAGTGAAGCCAGGTGAACACTTAAGTGCATGATTGCCTGATAAAAAGCAAAGTGTTTGCCAAGTACACATGTTTTTTTTTATCTGAATGAATACTCTCTGAAATTTGATAAGTAGGTTATAAACTATAACACATTTGTCCTTTTGTTGTGTATTTAATCTTTCAATCAGGACAGAGAGATTTGGATTATACAATGTGTCCTTTTCATGATTGCATTTGATTGACTTTTCCATCAACATGATGTGAACACATTGAACGTAGTTTGGCACTAAAGAACAGATTTTCAGATATTGAGGTTTTGATCGTTTTACTGTAATGTGAAACCTCTAATCCCTTTGCTCAGACTAAAAATAATGCTCTATAGAGTTTGATGTAACAGAAATGTGATTAATATATTAAATATTTGTATTTAATCAATAAAAATCAACCAATACATAGACCTGATCAATACACAACTTTTACTTATTATGGAATATTTTTAACTTGGGCTATTAATTCATAATCTTCATAATTTATTATCCAGCTCTACATTGTGTCTGCATAATTACCCATGGAGAGTACTTGCAAATAAAAGGTGAAGAAGTAATGCAACAATGACCTTAAACCTTTGGATTAAGGCTAAGTGTGTTCCTTGCAGGAAGCCCTTCAGGTCATGCTATGGGTGCTGCTGGGGTCTGGTATGTGATGGTAACAGCGACACTCACAAGTGCAACAGAGAAGCGATGCCCCCCTTTACTATACAAGTGAGTCTGTGGTAAATTAATTAAAACATGGACAAAAATAAACGTATAATGTAATTGTTTTGCTATCCAGACCATTGTGGTACTTAAAGTTTGTATGAAATCTCTAAGATTCTTGCAGGGAGGTCTGTGGAGTCTAATGGGCCTTATTCTGGTGGTGGTCGGCATGTCAAGGATCTATGTGGCTGCCCACTTCCCACAGCAGGTCATTGCAGGTGTCATTGCAGGTTGGTCTGCACAGAAAACAAGACTGACTTTTTTTTTATTATGAAAGTTTGTTTTTGTAAAGATATGCCATGGTATATTTGGCTATTCTTTGGATGTGGTCATATAAGATTTCCATTTCGGTACTCACCTTAAAGTATGCAGATGAAGGACGTTTGACACCATGGGACGTGTGCCACTGTTTGATGTTCCCTTGTCTCTGATTGTGTGCCAGGTGTTCTTGTAGCCGAAGTTGTCTCCAATAAAAAATGCATCTACAACGCCAGCATGAAGAGATACTTCTGCACGACCCTCTTTTTGACCTACTTCGCTGTTGGCTTCTACCTCATACTCAAAGCTCTGGGCGTGGACCTTCTTTGGACCATGGAAAAAGCCCAGAAGTGGTGCATAAAGCCCGAATGGGTCCACCTAGACTCCACGCCTTTCGCCAGCCTCCTGCGTAACATGGGCACGCTGTTCGGCCTGGGTCTTGGCCTGCACTCACCCCTCCGCACAGAGGCAAAGAAGAAGAAAACAAGCCCCAGTTTCCAAATGGGATGCATTACTGTTTCCTTAATTCTGCTTCAGCTGTTGGATGGATGGACATTTTCTTCAAAAAATCTTGTGACTTTTTACTTCCTGTCTTTTGGTAAGAGTGCAGTGGCACTTTTAATCCCGACCACATTGGTTCCCTGGGCTCTCTGCTTGATTTCCAAGGTAAAGAAAGAAGAGAAGAACTTGTGATTCAGGTTCAAGTTGTGCTTTGAAGTCGATTAGTAGTGTAATTTTTCTTATTAACTAGGATTGTTTTTTTCATGTAGAATCACCATATTAACACAGTGGCCAATTTCCTCTGCATGACGTTCAGGGACGGCGGCTTATGCTGCCCATGTTGTTTGCCTGCTGAATTATTGACTTTCAAATCATCAATATAGGAAACCTGGGCAATTCCTTTTTATCCACTGCTTCCCAAATGAATCAAAACATTGGATGGATAAAATAATGCAATATTTTAAGGCAATAAAATACAAGACAAGTTATTTTAAACTGATAGCTCATCAACAACAGCTAAAGTTAGCTTTCAACCAATTAGCTAAGAGTACTTTTTGCTAGCTAACAAAATTGCTAGCTAGAAAAGTACACTGCGCGTTCATGTAAAACTTACAGTTATGCTAGCTGGTGGTTGAATTGTACACGTTAGCTGAATGTCTAACATCTGCCAATAAGTAGTTTTAACTCTTCTTTCAAATTAATTTAGAAACAGTGAAATAAGTATTTAATATTCTTTAATAAAGTTTGTAAACCTTTTATAAAACGGCAACTTTATAACATAATTTCTGCCTCCCACCCTGACCCTGACAGGAAAATGGCCTCCATGCGAGTATGATGAATTTAGCCTTTTAGAAAAAGATTTGAAGTTACTGTGCTTACCTGGATATCAGCTCCTTTAAGATTTACGTACTGTAGTTTGGAGAATAAACTTACTTACTTTCCTGTAAGTTAGTGATCTACTGTTTCTGTATGATGTAGACTAAGTATGAAGCCACCAAACAGTCATGTTAACATAATCAATGAATTGCAAAATACTCAAACTGGCACTTGTGAAACTACGATAAAGATACATTTAAGAATAAACAACAGTTTAATCGTTCAAAAGTGGAATAATGAATGTGAAAATCTAAGGTTTAGTGCCACAGTAGTTTATCGACTTCTTAAAGTCTCCTTGTTTTACCTGGTAATCTCATAACAAACGTTGTCCATTGTGCATTTAGGTTTTTGAAGAGATAAAATTGAAGTTACAAAGTGCTTATTTGAGAGATCTAGAGGTGCTAGCTAGTGGACAGGTTAGCTCGGCCCAGGACCCGGCTAGATGTTTCTCCCAGAATTTTATACTAAACTAAGCTAACGTGGCTTTGCTCGCCATGCGTCATTCTCCACATGAAAAGTTGTGGAACACATGGTAACGTCAAGAATCTGGTTTCTTATTTTTTGTCTTTATTTGGACTTACTGAGTCTGCTTAGGACTTTCCTTTAGTATCAAAATGTGAGAATAGACTTTTTATAAACATGTTGTTTGCAGCTCTCTTTTGGTTGCATAAAAAATGGAAGATTAAAATTTTGTCAGCAACTTTTAAATAAAACCTATTTTTATAATCAAACGATGTCTCCAAGGGCTTGTTTTTATTTTTAGAAGTGACGTACCCCGCTATCGGTTTTCTCAGAATGTCTCACACTGATTAATTCCCCAGTTGGAACACGCATTAAATATTAACCCGAGCATGCTCCCGTCACTCGGCAGTCCCGCATAGTGACACTGCCTTTTCACCGTCGTCACAAGCGTTTCAAAAGAGACACGGAGGGTCAAGGGGCAGAGAGCGTTGCAGACAACACGTGTGTGCCCCTTTAACCTCTATACATAGTACATTGCTCAGCGACATATCAAAGGCGTGGGACTGAGATCAGCAGGATTGCAGAACCAGACACACCTCTGCAACCCAACCAATGATTTAGTCCTACATACCTTTTATGTAATGTGTAGCTGAGTGCAATCACCGGAAACTACTGATACAGTAGAGGAATTATGATGTATGGATGGTGACCCTGATAGCTATTTTTACAACATTGAATGCATGTTTTGTTCACTTTTAGATGTAAGGGGTTCCTGTACTCAAATTTTATTCAATGAATGAAAACATGGTTAACATTAGTTGACAGGGTAAAGGTGAAACAGGAAACGTGAAACCCCCTTCGGATGACATAATGGTCCTGACCGTCTCCTTTTCATCTATCTTATCTCAGAGGACCTTATTTCACACAACTTATCCCATGACTCCATATATCTATATTGCTGCTAGTCTATATGAGCTGACCTGATGTTAGACAGACTGGGGGAGCAGCCACTGAATAATGACTCACCTTTATATAATGTATAACTGCAGCAGTCAGCTCAGATAGGTTGTGTGGATTTGATCGGGGGGAAACACCAGCCTCAGTGGATAGCAGCTGGGGGGAAGAAAAAGGGGGAAGCTTTCTGGGGTCCAAGCTGAATGAGGGGCCCATGAATGAAAAAAAACACAATCCATCTTTAACTTAAAGAGGACATATCATGCCCCTTTTCCAGCTTTTCAAACAGTCCCCCTGTGGTCTAAATGAAACATCTGTGCTGTGCTTTGGTCAAAATATAACATGAATCAAGCACCAGAGGAGGTTTGTGACCCTGTATAAACCAGCTCTCTCAGAATGCTCTGTTTTGGTGTGTGTGTCTTTAAGTGCAATGAGCCTCCCCCTGAGTTTTCCCCGTAGCGATCACTCCTTTGGAGGGAGAATAAACATTGTTTTTGATCCTAAACTTTGGAACTGTGAACTCAACATTTTAAAAGCCATTGAAGACACGTTTGTTCAGACTTGTCTTCGTTTGAGCCGTCTGTTATTATGTAGGTGATGTATAAATAAACTTTAGATTAAAAAACAATACTTTATGGAAAATTATAACAGCATCATGTGCATGTGTACTGTATTTCCCCGTCATTACATAAGAGGTGCTGATGTATAGACGAGTTGTGTGCGTGCCACACTGCCACCTGCAGGCCGAGAGGACACATAGCTTCAGTTATTTTAGTTAGAGCTGCAGCTGTTTCTTAGTACACCATGGTGTCAAATGGACAATCATAACATCCTTTCTTCTGATCTGTAAACCCAAAATACAATCAGTGATGGTTGATTCACTGCCATCAGTAGTAATCTCTCCCTTTTTTCAGTCATCTATGTTGCTTATCGTTGCCATGGAAACACTGGATGTTACGTCAAAGACTGCTGTATGAAGAAGTGGCAACTGTTACTGAAAGCTTTTCTTTTTGTGTGCCAAATCTATGTTTTTATTAATTTAATGTCTCTTCTAAAACATATGAGCAGTATGAGATTTACAAATGCAAAAACTGGAAAAGAAATTGTATCTTGTATCAAAACAAACTTTTATTCAATAGATACACACCTCTACATTACGGTGACTTCTGGATCTTCACTTAAAACGATGAACATCTGGACCTAACACCTTAGTTTTCAGTATTTGGTCAAAACTACACTGCCTAACCTAAAACATTTGAAAAAAAAAATACAGCTTTTGTGTTTGAAGTTTGAAACGGATGGTTCCTCCAGCTGCTGAGATGTCTCATGTACGAGACTGAAAGAAATAACCACATAACCATTCAAAGTGTAATGAAAGAAACCACCTAAGAGCTATAAATGAGGCCATTTCACAAAGATATGAGGACAAAATGTTTAATTAAAATTAAAAAATACATAGCGCTTCATGTTGTCTGTGAACTATCTCCCCACTCTGAGAGAATATTTTATGTCTTCAAAGGATTTAAAACAAGACAAATATTTTACAATTAAAACAAAAAGGTGTGCGTCGTGTCCGTCTATGGAAGCTATGTTTCTGTACTGGGCTGAGTTGATTGTACTGAAATGTGTGAATGTCTCGATGTAGTCCAGAGTGGACCGGGGCCGGGCGTCTACAGCTCGACATGGCGTGGCGGCGATGGAGGGGGGGAGGGAGGGGGGAGACGAGGGCTGGAAATGGGAGGCAGAGACTTGAGATGGCTGGATGAACATCAGTACAAGGCGTCGGCATTACTGCTTCGAGGCTTCTTGATCTTCTCGATGTTCTTCAGGATCATGTCGTGTAACGTAACCTTCACGGTAAATAAACACAGTGGTGTCAAATATAAAAACAGAAGAAGAAGAGAGGATTTTCTTTAAAGAAATGACAGACGTAAATGGTGACATACGTATTGATTTCGAAGCTCCGAAACTATGATCTTCAGGCTGATGTATTCCTTCTCATCAATCTCGGTTACTGTACGCCGATAGTCCTCCTATGAAAAATAAAAATACAGGATTCATTTATTTGCATCATTGCTGGAACAAATTTGCATATCACACTGAACAGCACAGTCAACATATTATTCTCAGATTTTTACAAACTACCTTTTGTCCATCACTTTTCTGCTCCTTTGTAAAGCTCTTAGTCTGAAAGGTGCTTTATAAATAAAGTTTGATTTATTGATATATTCCAACAAAATCCAGTTTGTGTGTTTAAATTCTCTCCGACGTCATTTTTATTATCAGTCCGCCTGTTTTCATCCTGGACTCATCCAAGCCTTCACTGTTTACTGTTCCCTCTCCTGTTATCAGAGCTTTTATTAGCTGGTTCTGGCACTAATCGAACATTTCCTTCTGTTGCTCGCTCACATTAACGGCTTGTCAAGTGAGGAAACGCAGGACGGACTTTCACCGTGAAGCAGCCTGAGCCATTACAAATATATTAGTGAACCAGAAATCAGCACGAGCAGATAATGTTTTTAACTGTTTGTTTGTTTGTGAAGTCATAAAAACTGTCTTCTTTATTAGAAAGACTGCTGTACGCTTCTCAAGCCACCAGGGGTCACTGTGGTTTCTAGTTCTAATGTCACAAAGCGAAAACTTTCAGACTTCAAACGTCACAGTGAAAATACACATTTTAAAATGCTGTGTAGTTTTTTTTGATGATTCTAAAATGTGTATTTTCTTGTCTAAAGACCTTGATTCTTTATAGATAATATTCACTTACCACATGTGGATATTTAGCTATTTTAGAAACCAGCTTTGCCCTTGTGATGTAGTATCTGGAAGAAAAGAAGGCAGAAGCAATCTTGTAAATGATACAAGTAAAGAAACAAGCATCTCCTGCAGCAGCAGCAGCAGCACTTTCAAACCTCCCGGTGTGTAAAGTAAATTATGATATCTCCAAACCTTGAAATCTGATCGAGGTAGGATGCTGCCTCCCCTTCCACTGTTCTGAGCTCAGCTACTGTCTCCTCCTGGATGGACACTCCGAAGTTGTTGCCATCTTCTATCCTTGGGATGAGCAGCTGAACCCACATTTTGACCTGCAGATTACAAGGAGAGTGCTAAGAAAAAGGAAGAAGCAACACCTGTGGATCATCAGTTCATATCCACATGCAATGTTCAGCATTCACAAATATTCTTCTTGCAAAAATGCCTTTTATTGCTACTCATGTTGGAACTTAACACTTACAACACTCATGAGAACATCAATGACTTACTGTGTTACATTTCTCTATGAGCGTCCTGATCTCTGGTTTGACCTTTTCAATGAGATCAACAAGATTCCCATTGCTCTTCATCATCCCACCGGGCATGACAAAGACCTTGGTGCCGGTGACTGGAAACACGGAAAGAAGGAAAAAACATAAACAACAGGATTGATTACAGACACTTTAACCCATAAATTAGTTAAATCCACAGTTACATTGGTGTTAAAAAAAAGTGCAGCTGTTCAGTGTTTGCTCCCTTCATGTAAAGCATCCCCAGGTTTCTTCAAAGACGCTATATACATTTGATCTAGTACTAATTATTTTTTGAGTAATAATTTAAAAAATAATAATAATACAACTTTTTTTGACACAAGAGCTGAACAACACTGCAAACACATAAAAGTTAAGAATATTCCCTTAAAGTTTCAAACCACAAATGGGACCAGGGATGTTTCTTAATGATCCGTCTTGGAAAAACACAATAAAACATTTATTTCAGTCTTCATCTTGCAAACTTGTCCCACTAATGTGATCATAACTGCAGTCATTCAGCCACTCATTTTGTACTCACCCATGTCCTCCCCTCCATCCTCCAGCTTTCTCTTCTTTGCATTTTGCTGTAAAAACAAAACAAAACAGAAGCTCACATTCTCCACACAGTAAGTACAAATTATTATTATTTTGTTTTTTTCATTTCTTGTGGATTTCATGAAACCCTTACTGCTTCAAGTCCGTCATGCAGGTTTGGGAGCAGGATGGGGTCTGGCACCGTGAGATTGATGTCAGAGTGGATCTCCTTCAGGTCACTGATGTTTATGATTGGATCCTGAAAAACAACGAGGTTACAGAATGTATATTTTACATTATAAATGATGTGAATTGAAAAGATTACACTGTGAAAGAATACATTTTTATACTGTCAGATATTTAGCCAGTGTGGACAGTGAGGCTAACCTGCTAATTAATGACAGTAGTGTTGTCACAATACCAGAAATGTTAATTTTGATGAGAAACACTGGTGTAAAAGCAGCAGACCCTCCACACAGACAGAGTTGTAAAGTGTCGGCAGTGTTTGAAAAAGACCCAACGAGAACCACATCTTCCTTCACCTCCCCGCCTTGTTTACTAGTTTTCAGCTTCCTGTTTGGTGCTGGAAAGTCCACTCCTATTGGTTGCTGACTATGTTTGCATCATTGAACAAGACGATTTGCATAAAACAAGACCGAAGACGTGAGGTAACATTAAACAGGTTTAATTATATTGTAATGTAAAGACGAGAGAAAGACATTAAAACAGTCCGGATTGAGTTTTCTGACCACTTTACACCAAATTTAAGCAAAACTCTCATGATTTTAATCCGTCTTCAGAAATGTGTCTGTGACTCTAAATCACTCTAAATGTCGTTTGGTGTAAGGTCAGCATTAGTCAGTGCTCTCCATCTTTAAGGCAGCTTTGGGTTAAAAGTATGACTGAAGATCTGAAGCTTTTTTTTTTTTAAAGCTTCTGATAGTTTTGATCATCAATAAGAAATTTGTTTGGTTTTATAACACATTATAGCAAAAAGTATAAAAAATGTTGACAACATTAAATGTCAGTTATGAATTTGTGAGTAGGGCAGCTGTGGCTCAGCTGGTAGAGTCGTCGCCTCTCAACCAGTAGGTCGAGGGTTCGATCCCGCTGCTTTATGAATGGATTAGTGTTGTTCTTACTCTCTGATGTACGTCGCTTTGGATAAAAGCGTCTGCTAAGTGAATTGTAGAATTGTATGAGTTGATATGAACTTTATCAGCCCCCAAAAACACTAAATGTACTTTATTTGTTGATCAAACAGTCATTAACAGATTTATTGGATCTTTTGATAGTAAAGCTAAAGCAGGAGATCGTCCAGCAGATAAAGTTACTCTGCAAATTGTGATGTTACAACTTTTGACACCCAGTTTTCTCTTTTGATTTTACAGTCAAGTTAACAATTCACTCAGCAGACGCTTTTCTCCAAAGCGACGTACATCAGAGAGTAAGAACAACACAAGTAAGGATCTAGAAACAAGGGAACAATGTCAGTAAGAGCAAACGATCAGCTTTGAGTCTGATTGGACACACAGGTGCTGACAGGAAGTGACCAGAGGCAAAGCACAACATTGAGGGCAGTTCTTGAGAGCTCTAATCAGTATATGAGTTCACTCAAACCACGAGATGTAGTGCAACATGATCTGAATGAACACACGTAACTGACCTTAAGGAAGTGATCGAGTTCCAGTAACTTCTTTGGGAAAAAACTAGCAACGAGGTTCTCTGCCTGAAAAACAAAACAAACAAACAAACAAACAAACTGTTGCTTTAATTCATGTTTAAAAACAAACAGATTTTGACCACTTTAAAGGTGCATTGTGTAGATTTATTGGTGAAGTGAATAACTTACTTCTGAAGTGATTCGTTCCCTAAAAGCATCAACCTGCAAAACATTAAAACAGAGTTTAAATAAACCTGCAAAACATCAAAACAGAGTTTAAATAAACCTGCAAAACATCAAAACAGTTTAAATAAACCTGCAAAACAGTTTAAATAAACCTGCAAAACATCAAAACAGAGTTTAAATAAACCTGCAAAACATCAAAACAGTTTAAATAAACCTGCAAAACATTAAAACAGAGTTTAAATAAACCTGCAAAACATCAAAACAGTTTAAATAAACCTGCTGCAGAAAAACAACAAATCATCCCTTTGACTAGAAGAGGCTGAAAACTGAAGAACTATTCAATAAGTCTCCCATTGGCTTCTACTGATGCTGCAGGAACATCATGTTATCACCTGAATGACGCAGGTGTGACAGCAGCAGCAGCTTCTGCAGGGCTAACCTGTTAGCTCCGTTAGCTCAGTTAGCTCAGGCCTCTTCAGTGCATGTGCTCTTCTACTTTAAATACCTGTGACACACTTTGTTGTTGTGGCTTCACTTTCCCCCTCGTGAAGCTCAGCGTCACTATGACACACTACCTGTCTGTGTAAAGGTCTGACAGGTGTGATGTAGCAGGCGGGAAACAAGCCGGTTAGCCGCTGTTAGCCTTCATCACATCATGCTACAAAACGTGGCTAACATGCTAGCTAGCGAATGGCAACAACAAACACGCCGTTAACCTTTAAAAGAGGTTTAAAAACAAAGAGACTGAGCTCACCTTGGTTTTGATTTCATTGTCCACCTTGAGGAGTGAAGACATCTTATGGGATCAAATAGGCGAAGATTGTGCCAACAGCATTAAATTCACTTGTAAAGCGTGTGGCTTTTCACTTGTCAGCCACACTTGGGGAGCGCAATGATGACGTCGTTTAGAACGCGACGGCAACAGAACCAGTGTTGCCAGATCTCGCGAGAGAAACAAGCAACCAGCTGTCTGGAAACAAGCCCAAAAACAAGCGACCTGGCTCCTCATAAAAATTAAATGAAGCCCAACAGGTGACCTAACCCACCACATAGTGGAAACAGAGGACACTTGATAGCACTATACATATACTATATACATATATATATATATATATATATATATACTCATACATACTGAGTATATATATATTTATATACACACATATATATATATACATATATATACAGTATATATATATATATATATATAGTATATGTATATATATACTCATATATACTGAGTATATATATATTTATATACACACACACATATATATATACAGTATATATATATACTCAGTATATATATATATATACAGTATATATATATATATATATGGCAAGGCGTTCAGGAAATTAATATATTGAATGAAACTTTGAATATATTGAATTGAAGCTTATTTAAATTCTCCAAATCCACCAGTTTCATTGTTATCATCCAAAAGACACCCTGCTGAATATGCTGGTTTTGAAAAATGACATCAGCTGAAATATACCAATACTTATTTTTTATTAATAATATTAATAATAATAATAATAATAATAATAATAATAATAATATTAATAATAATAATAATAATAATAATAATAATAATAATAATAATAATAACTTTTTATAAGGTGCTGGTCGTACTCAAAATGATATAAATAATATGGAATGTAGAAAGCGTCACCTCGAAGATCATAGTTAAATTATTGTTACACTTTTACTTCTTCAAAGTAATAATGTTCAACAATCACTGCTGAGCGCAAAATCCAACTTTTGAAATAACACTACAGACTTCATTCCATATATTCAAAGTTTCATTCAATATGGGTTAGGGTTAATTAATTTCCTGAATGGCTTGCCACTATATATATATATATATATATATATATATATATATATATATATATATATATATGAATATATATTTGAAAACATTTTTTTGTGCTTTTGGGTGCCAGCATCATCAACATGCTGTATTAAGGTCAGATCTGTTTCTCCCACTGTTTATTATATTATTTCCTGTCAGTGTGTGTGTGTGTGTGTGTGTGTGTGTGTGTGTGTGTGTGTGTGTGTGTGTGTGTGTGTGTGTGTGTGTGAGAAAAAAAAGCGGACCTGGCAACACGGCACAGAGCGGACGCGATGTTTTTGGAGACTGCGCATGCGCGGGGGGGACGTCACCGTATTATTTTTCTCGAACGCAGCTGACGATGTAAACAAGAAAAGACAGTCGAGGGCAACAGGGATCAAATAGGCCGGTGTCAACGCAAATGATAGCCATCGCATGCTCGTGAACGGCTGACATGGGGCTTCCTGTTACTATTAAAGTCAATTTTCGGGGGAACGTGAAGAGATTCCTGGCGCAGGATTTGGACAAATTGGAGTGGGAATCCGTGGAAGCTTGGGTGAGCTGTTAGCTGTGCGTGCTGGCTAAATGCTGGCGCAGTTTGGTGGAAAGCAGGCCCCAGACATGGCCTAGGCACGTAAACAATAGACTACCGGAAGGACAGCCGGTGTTATTGAGAAAACCCCGTGTGCATAATTGTTAACATGTTAACCGGACTGTACATTAATAATTATAAAGTGAGACATCTGCTGTGTTTGCTGTAAAGTGTTTGCACAGTTGTTAACTGTAAGAGGAGATTTCTCAACGTGCCATTATTGATGTTTATACTTCACGTCTCATATGGGACAAAAAAAAAACTCATTTTATATTTATAACAAAATTATTAACTTCTGAATTTAAATCATATTTCAGATCAAAGCATCATTTGGGATCAACCACTTTCAAGTCAAATACTTTGATGAGGAAAATGAAGAGGTAAGGGAGTGTGTGTAAATACCTCTTAATGCAGTTTAAATGCTTTGCTTTAGTGCTTTTTACATTCTTTAAAAGGGTTATGACAGTGTTTTGCTTTGGTGTGTGTGTGAGATAATTCAGTCATTCTGATTTGTTTTGCTCTATTTCAGATTTGCATCAACAGTCAAGGTGAGAAAATCACTTTGTTTATGTTTATTACTACAGTGCTTATTACTTATATTACCTGTATATTATCTGTAATCTAGTATAGCATGCTCACTGCACCTTAAAGTGTATACTATAATCCTAAGAATATACTTATATTTATAGCATTTATTTATATTTATAGCATATATTCCCAATAATTCACTTTTTTTAGTCTTTAATATTCAGAAATCTTAGCTAAATATTAGAAATCAAAGCTCAATATTTAGTTTATATTCTATATATTTAGCTTTGATTATAAATATTTACAATCTTCGCTAAATATATAGGATCAGGACATGTATTTTTAACATTCATATATAATATTTAACATTTATATTTGCAAATGAAATTATCTTACATTTTTATTCACAAATGTAAATATGACAAAGCTCACAAATATTTCTCTAAATCTGAATAAAAACTGATTTTTTTTTTAGGGCTAAATGTGGAGAATGTTGTTGTTGTTATTTGCAGTGTGTGCAACTTTACAATCGGCGCCCCGTAGTAATGACAATAAAGTTGAATCTCATCTCATATTTATCATGGTTTATGTTAAGAAGAATAGAAGACTAATGTTTTGCCTAAAGATTCAAATAAGGGTACAACTCTTAACTGCAAAATACAGAAATAATGCTGAACGAGCAACTAACTGTTTGTTTGTTTGTTTGATTTCAGATGAATACGAAGAAGCCATCAAGGTAACGGGCCATTTATTTGTTTTTGTAAAATAGGGAAGAGAGGATTTTTTTTTAGCAGCACATTAGAAAAATCAAGGATATCACACAGGATGCAAACTCACAGGGGATTAAACATCGTAGAAGAAGTTTAATTGAGTCAAGAAATGTGAAAATAATCAAAAACATATATGATCAAATATGTCAGCTGTAGCAAAAAAGAAATCCCAGGTCAATTAATGTGGCAGTTTTAGATGTGATTATTTACTGCTCAGTGGAGACCAACAAACGCCTAAAAACTCTCCAATCAAGTTTCTAATGAAGGTTATATTGAAGGTTACAGAAAGAGACTTAACAAAAGGTGTAGGTTAGTTAATGCTAATATCAGAGAATGCTAAAAAAAAAAAAAGAGGTGTTAGCATCGACCAAAATGTGTGAATTCTTTGTCGGCTCCAGGGCTGGGGGGCGTCTGAGAGGCCTATAGCACTTAGTTAGTTTCTCACGCCTGATGCAGGGGTCTATTCAGAGAATGGAAATGACTTGAAAGGAGGATCACCACAGGGGTAACTTAAGGAACTTCACACGTTGATTAGCGCTGGGTTGATAAAGGAAGCTCGAGAAAACACAAATCCTGTTATTGTTCTGAATCGGACAGACGTTATATATATAAAAGAAAACTTCACGAATGAGGGATTTAAAGGTAATTATTAACACATTAGACAAATGAAGAAGCAGAGCCGGAGTTTTATTTCAGCACAGGACTCCTCGCCTCATGATGTACTGCGTGACTGTACTCGATGACAACACAAACATGCTACTGTTCCAGTGTAGCAGCATTCACTTAGTAACAGAGGACAATAAAGAACCACAATAACACACGTTGCATTGTTCCAAAGTCATATCTTTTGTTTTTCGAAGTTGAAGTCGGACATGTTTTCTGCATTTCTTCATATTTTCTGAGTCATGTTGTGTTTCCTCGTGTGTACAGAGTGCAGAGAAGCAGGGGAACCAGTTGCACATGAACGTGTACAAGATGAAGGGGCAGGCCTGTGGAGGCCCTCTGAAGACGGAGGTGAAGGAGCTGAAGGGAGACCTCCGGCCCGCTCCTCCTTATCCATCCAGGGTCAAAACAGTGGACAAGGGCACACAGGTCACCCCGGAGCGAGAAGCTGTAAGGACAATCCTCCTCTTCCAACACCACCTCCTGTTTCTCACTCACTGTCAAATGTGCTGAATTTAAATTATAAAAGGATTCTTGTTCTCATTTAAATTAACCCACATGTTCAAACTGTCTGCATACGTGTGAGCAGCTGTTCTCTGTTTGAACAATGTGATTTATCTCCAATATTTCAGTATCTATGCATCGTATTTAAAAAATATATATTTGTGGAAGTTATGCAGCTCAATCTCTGCAGGGCCAACAAAAGTTATCTTTGTGTTTAAATAATTTAAATAATCTGGAAATCAAATATTAAAGTTAGTGTTGTGGGCATGACTCAGCACTTTGTTTGTTTAGAGGTTTAGAGGGTGAATAATCACTTAGCAGATATGTCTGTGGGGTATTTATATTCTGTAACCATAGAAAGATCCCAGAACAAGCCAATGGTATTCCACATAGCATTATAAAGATATACTCAAATATAAATTACATGAAGATATAAATCCAACAGAGTCCTTTCTATAAGAAAAATAACAATAAAACATATTGATTCAGTGCTTGAAAAAAAACACAACTTTGAAACATGATGGAATTAACCCAGTTTTCATGAAAGTTTGAAGAATCAGAATCAGATTTATTGACCAGGTATTCTCACTAGAGCTGGGAATCTTTGGGTTTCTCACAATTTGATTCGATTTTGATTCTTGGGATCACAATTCGATTCAGAAAGATTCTGGATTCATGGATTCAAAGTCTTTTTTTTTTAAATTAGTGAATTTTTAAGGATCTACTCCAGTCATCTGTGAGACCGGCTGTATATCTTGTTGCTCCATTTGACCTCTGACTGAGTTAAAGAGCTAGTATTAGCACTTAGCATAACTGATTGCCCCCCCCCCCCCAAAAAATAGTTTTTTTTGGAATTTATGAATCAATTTAAAATCTCAGAAGATTAGAAGATAAGTTTTCCCCCCAGCCCGACTGCTCACACATGCAAGGAATTTGACGTCTGTAAACTGAACTCTCTATTTACAAAAAATACATTAATTATCAACAATCAACACAAAATAACAAAGACTAATATGTATAAGGCTGAACGAGACAACGTGCGTTTCAGACCGCAGGAACATTTTCATAGTTCTAGGATCTGTTGGAACCCTCCTCTTTTTTAAATACACTAACTATGAGCTATTTCAGTTCCTAGAACGCGTTTAGAGGAACCTTTTTAGCTCCTGCTTCAGAGTAGGTACCACGGCGGTGCGAATGCAGACAGAAGAAAAGTCCCCATGGTGTTTGGTTAGTGAAGTGCAAACATGCTGAGATAACATGATAATTAAACAACAGATGGGTTACTTCACATGAGGTCAAACTTCTATCCCTTTGCCCTTATAATACAAGTCTGTGCTTCAATTCTTATTCAAACCTTTCCAAACATATTATTCTTTATAAGTGCACCACTCTCTCACCCTGTACATGACTGTTGTTGAGATTGTGCGTCTGATGTATTTGGATACAGGTAACAGTGAAGGACACCAAGGGGAACAAACCAGAAGACGAGCCGCCTCCCATGTGGTTCAGATCTTACATGGAGAAGGTAAGATTTTCAACAGACCGAAGATGTCATCAGAATTTTAGGTTTCCTTCATCTTACATAAACAAATCCTCTTTGTTCTCAGTTTAAAGATGAAGTCGTGAAAGAGGTGGTGGAGAGGATGTGCAGCGACTTTTCTGGCCAGTGTTGCACACACAAAGCTTCTGATGGGCCCCTCGAGACCGGCGGGGGGGCTACTGGCGGTCCCATAGGGCCCAGACCAGGCCCCTCCACCTCGAACGGATCTCTTGGCTACACCCCAAACTGCAGCAGCTGCCACAAACTCACCTCTGAAGGGGCCTATAAGTGCAGGTAGATAAACACCCTGCTTACCTTTTTTTAAATGTCATACTTTGTCTATGAATGCTTTCATTGCGTTTTCTCTTCTTTGTTCTCCCTGCCAGTGTGTGCCCGTCCTGCATCCTGTGTGAGATGTGCAGGCATAGCCATGACCCCAGCCACAACCTTGTGAGAACCAAGACTCCTCTCTCCATCCCCGAGCATGGAATGTCGGGAGAGTTGAGGTAAACCCCCCACCCAAGGCTGAGGATAAATCTCCCCACTTCTTGAAGCAAAAAGACATTTTTACTTACGACAGTGTTAGTGCTTCTTCTGTGTTGTCACTTGGTCTGTATTAATGGAGGAAAACGTAAATAAGAATAGACGCAAGGCAGGACTTTAAATAGTGTTTTAGCAGCTACATAAGTGTAATTTATGAATTGTGTGAATGTGTGTTTTTGTTCTTGGAAAAATAAACATTTGATAGTCAACAAATAGGTGTTCCTGATGACATTTCAAACCAGGTTCCCAAGGCGAGGAGACAGGACAGTGCGCAAGGCCGAGCGACAGCGCCTCAAAGCTGAAAGGAGGCAGCTCAGAGCTGAAGTGAAGGAAATCAAGAAGAAACTGAGACTGGAGAAGAGGGGGCTGCAGTGGAGCGGGCCCTCTACCTCAGGCAGAGCCAACCTGACAAACACGGCCTCCGCGTCCACCCAGGTCCCGGCTCCGCCCCCCACTGCTGCCTCAGAAACAGCCTCAGGTCCAGCCCCAGCCCAAGGTCCCGCCCCTGCCCCGGTCCCTGACCCCCAGGCCTCCAGTCCAGAGTAAGCGCCATCTCGGAAGGGGCGTCCGCCAGTGCTGGGTACCTCGAAACCCAGCATGGATGCAATAAAAATCTTTTTTTTTTTCCAAGAAAAAGAAATCAAAATATGCCATCTTTGTAATCTAGTATGTATGAGTGTATCGCTGGCTGCTCTGGGGTGGTGGAAAAAATGTTGGAACTACCTCAATGTGAAAACTGCTGCTGCTGCTTCATAGATTTTCTAAGAAAAATTGCTTTTGAGCTGCAAAAAAAAAAAAAAATCTGGGGGTCCTGCTTTTTTGATTCGTAGAGAACAAAAGAGATGGGTGTTTTAAGAAACCAGGGCTATTTTCAACAATGCTCTGTACACTTGAAACTAGGGGTCCTGGGGTCTCGCACACGTCCTTGGTGCCCACTATGGCTGCGTTGTTTCTGGATGAAAATCTGCCGGACGGCACCCGTTTGGAGCCTGGAACCAAGTTCATCAAATACTGGAAGATGAGGAACTCGGGGACTATCAGCTGGACCTCAGAGACCAAGGTACCCCTCCCACCCGTCGAGAGGGCAGGCCCCACTCTCTCTTTGCCCCCCCCTCCTCCTGCTTTACTTCCACTCTGAGCCCCCACTCAGCTCATTCTAATCTTCTAACACCAGCTAAGATTTCTCATCCAGCCTAATGCCTCTAATGCCCCTTCTGTCTGAGATTTTTATGATTTGATTCTTTTGAATCTGTGTCGTCGTTTAAGTTCTGGAGTCTCTGTCCTTGTTTGAATGTGTGTGAGTGAGTGACTGACTTTACTTCACTTGAGTGTGTATTCTTTTTTCTTTTTTTCTGGTTGCATGCTTTTGTCTTTGTGCCTTTTCGCATGTGTATTCCTATTTTTGTGTTCTGTGTATGTGTGTACGTGCACCCAGCTAGTGTTCATGTGGGGGAACCTCGGCCTGGCGTCAGAGGAGAGGAGGGAGGTGCCGGTCCCCCTGTTGCTGCCCGGGCAGGTGGGAGTGGTCAGTGTGGCCTTTGTGGCTCCCGTGATGGAGGGGACGTACACCTCCCACTGGAGGCTGGCGCACTGCGGGTGTCAGTTCGGCCCGCGCGTCTGGTGCAGCATCGTGGTCGAACCCGGCGACGGCCGCAACACGCTCGCTCCTCAGAGCAAACGACTGGCAAGTCTGAAATCCACTGAATCCCCCCTCCGCACTCCCGCACTGAAAACATCAACTTAACATCGTTTAATGGTTTCATTTGGGACACAGAAGTAGTGTTTAAACTCAATCCTGTATTTAAATTTAAGCACTTTACTTGAGAACATCATTTTTATGACACTTTTATTTTTACTCATCGACTTTATTCCAGAGGGAAATATGAACTTTTTTTTTATTTGCCACATCCTTTGAGCTTTAATGACTACACAGATTATGATTAAAATAAAAAATAAACATGGGATAAGTTTATAAAATACAATATCTTGTTAAGACTAAAATCAACAGTGTGGGCCTGTTGTTTGTTTTGTGTCAGACGAGTTCTACCAGGGAGGAATTTCTACTCCAAACGTGGCATTAATTCATTTATTATCAGGTCAAAATGAAAAATAACACACACTCAAGTGAAGGGAAAGGAAAACAATTAAGGAAACTCAATGACCTATTCTGAATATAAATGTATATAACATACTTTATGCATGGTTGTATTAGTTTTATGTTAGACAGTAAACATCTAACATTTCAATGTAGACAGAAAACATCATTTATTGCTCTAAATTGAAATATCACACTGGTGCTGTGTTTGTGCCATTATTAAAAAAAAAAAAGCTAATGTTTGAGGCTCAAAGACACAGAAGTTTGTCAGAGCGACTTTTCTGTTCCATGAATCATCTCATGAACCGTCAGATTGATCAGGTGACCTTTAGAGGGTCCTCACGCCAAGTTTGGAAACCACTGCACAGTACTTCTGAAGTCATTAAAAAACGTTTCTCTTGCTTCTCAACTAACATTATTTTACTTCAGATACTTTAAAGTTAATTTTACTGATAATATTTCAGTTCTTTGTTAGGCAGGAAATTTAACACAGAGCTTTAACTTGTCATGCATCCTTTTTCTCAACATTTAGTTTTGAATTTATTGACATGAAATATATCAGTCGTTTCTTCAACACATTTACCTTTTCCTGAAGAGAGGATCTCAATGTTTGAATATAACATTTTGGATTGGATATATAAGTCTGTGTCAGTCCTGGTCTCTGGTTAAATATTAAAGAAAAGTAAACATGGATGTTTGTGATAAAGATTAGAGAATAACAACAAGTAAGGCTCCTAACTATGATACCAAAAGCATGTGTTGTGCGCTCATTATATTGACTCTAACGATACTGTTTTTGTTTGTGCTTCAGAAGGAGGACGTTAAGCCAGCAGAGAAGAAGAGGGAGGTCCGGTCTCAGGACAGTCCTGGTCCTGGCTTTGCTATCGACCTGAGCCATGAGGACTTGTACTTCCCATCGGTCGACCTGCTGACTGCGCAGGTGCACACACTCAGAATGCTCCTCAATCAACTGCAAAAACAAAAAAAAAACATGTTTCAGTCATTCACCACAGAAAGTCACATTTCATTATAAAATATGATTTGGATCACATGCATGTGCAAACTGATCAGAAAAGCAGAAATCATGTTCTCTATGCGTCTTCTGTTTGTAGGATCTTCTGTCATTTGAGCTGCTGGATATAAACATCGTGCAGGAGTTGGAGAAGGTTCCTAACAACACACCTGTGGGTAAGTAAGACCGGCTGCTTTAAAACACTGAAGAGAACTTCTACAACTTCCTTCCTGTCTTTTTTTGTTGTTGTTTTTTTTATATCTGAAGTGTGTAACCTCTGTTGTGTTTGTCTAACCTGACTTGCAGCTTTGACACCCTGCATATCCCCTCTGCCCCCTGATGCTCCAGTGTTGGAGAAGGCCGTCGCTTCACAGATAAAAGATGACTCGGAGGTCTCAGGGGTCAGAACACTTTTCGGTAAGATGATTGTTTTTCTGAAAAATCCTCCAGAATCAGTACGGATGTTGTTAGTAAAGGAGAAGCAACTGAAGTGAAACAAATCTGAGGCGCCTGTCGCCTAGTGGTGAGAGCGCGCCCCATGTACGGAGGCTGTGTAGACAACCTGTGGCTCCTTTCCCACGTGTCATTCCTCACTCTCTCTCCCAAATTTCTGGTGGTCCAGATAGAAGATATTCTCTTTTTCCCCCATTTAATTATTTCTAAAGTTGCAGAGTTTGCAGCCAGAAGAGCCAGAAAAGATAAAGGCTAGGGTTAGGGTTATGTTGCTATGGTTACCCATCTTAGATACCGTCTGCAGCACATTCATTTTTGAACAGTGAACAGACTGATTAACTGGAACTACTTCCACAGGTGTCCATATATCGAAGGTTAATGGACACCCACGTCAGCCAATCAGAATTGAGTATTCACACAGACATGAGAACATCTTGAGATTAAAAACAAGTGTTTCTTCTAACTTATCCTACTTGTACATCGGCCTTCTTGAAAATGTATGAGTGTGGAGAATGTACGGAGGATGAAATCTCTGAGAACTGTCAGTCATCTCAAGTAATTGTGGGTAATGTAGTTCTAGTGGGTAATGTTCCTTCTTCATTGTGAGTCTGCCGAGGATGTGGAAGTGTAATGCTAACTCTTTGTGTTGGTGTGTGTGTTTGTGTGTTTTCACCAGGAGTGAAGCTGAGGCAGGAGAGCGGGCAGCCGGAGCCTGTGGCCCAGGAGGAGGACCGGGAGGAGGAGATCAGTGGAGCCCAGTTCCTCTGTGAGACCGTCATCCGCTCCCTCACCTTAGAGGAAGCCCCCGATCACAGACCCCTGCGCCGAGCCCAGCACAGCAGCCTCAAAGCAAACAGTGAGGACGTTCATATTCTACACAGTTAATTAAATTTGTCTTGAAGAGCTGTTAGCTTTATTTTTAAATTTCTTTCCTTTGTTTTTTTTTATATATTATAATTTCAGTTTCCTCTCGTGGTCCAAACTTTCCCTTTGAGAAGCCGGTGGATGTTGAGAAGTCAGAGAGAGTGCAAGAAGTTAAAGAGGAGATCTGTGCTGTCAGACTGGAGAGTTCAGCTCTGCCTCTAAACACCGGTCTCAACCTGATCAGCGTGGAAGAGGAGACAAGTCCAGGTCAGGACACCTTCCAGGATTCAATATCTCTGTTTGTTTCAAGTCTAGCTTCAGATTTTAAATTCTTTCTTAAAATGTGCCATGTCTTCATAACATCTGCCCACATAAAACAACATTTGTGCTTTCATTTCCCTGTCATGACTTCATCGTCTTCAACAAATTCAGCCTTACTTTGCACGTTTGAGTCGCTCATTTAGTCGTTCTTCTTTACCTCTTTTGTGTTTTTTGGTTCTGTTGCTGAAACCAGCGGATGAAAACACACAGATCAGCTCACCTCCTGACAGAGAGGACGAAGAGGTCATGGTTTTGAACGAGCTGCAGAGCATGAGGGACACCGAAGAGGAGGGAGAGGAGGGCGGCAACAAAGGAGAAGACTGGGAGGAGGTGAAATGTTTTTCTAATAACCAAAACATGCCACAAAGGGGACTTTAGCTTCCTTCGAGTTGCTCCCGTAGTGGTTTACCTTCTTTCTCCTCCTGTGTCTCAGGTCAGCAGCCAGACCTCTTCAGTCTCCTCCTGCGACGATTACATCATCGTCCTCCCAGACTGCTTCGACACCAGCCGGCCTCTGGGTGAGTCCATGTACAGCTCTGCCATGTCGCAGCCAGACCCAGCTGACGCCACCGCTGCTGCTGCTGCTGCTGCTGATGATGATGATGATGTAACCTCAGCTGATCCAGACGTGGACGAGGAGAAAGAGGAAGAGTCCGAGCCCGAGCCCGACGCGGCTGAACCTCTGAGTGAGAGGCAGGAGAAGATGGAGGTGGCTGAAGACGAGGATCCACCTGTGAACACCTGGCTTCCAGTTCTCCCTCCATCCATCCACAGCAGTGTGAACCAGATGCTGTGTGCCTCCCAGACGCTCGACGCCACCACGCTCACCCCTGAAGTGGTGCCGCCGCCCGTGCTGCCAGACCCCCTGCTGCCCCGCCCGCCCTCTACTCACCAAGGTTAGACAGGAGCTCAGTCTCGTGGACATTTGGAAGTTATGACATTTGACAGAAGTTTTGTAATATTGTGTAGCATGTAGGATAGCCTTATATGGTCGCGTGACCTTATATAGGCGTTAATGTTATCTGAACCACTTACACCTCAGTCATCAGAGTCTTCTCAGTCCTTCTTGTGTTTTGGTCAAGCTTTATGAAACTTCCTCAACAATTTATAATATTTATCGTCTTGTTGCCGCATTTTGTGGTTTCATTCTTCTTCTTTTTTCTGTATGTTTCAGGTCTGAAGCACTGTACCTGGCTGAGGACCCCAGCCCCCCGGCCTGTGACCCATATGAGCCGCCCCAACCGAGGGTCCACCTAAATGGTGATTTTTATTTTTCCCTTTTTTAAATCACTCAGTTTGGGGGTTTTCCTTAAACTAATGAGGCGACGGCTGCGAGCGTGGTCAGGCAGGAAACTCCAGCTGCACTGATCTTATCATTATCCATCACCTTTCAATTAGCGGTGTATTTAAGCTGCAAGACTTTCAGTCTTTACCTCTGCTCTTTCATTGTCACCTCTGACTTTCATCAGTGCTGCACTCTTGCTCAGCCCGACCACGATCCGAGCATCCACCTGTAGGCTCTGACTGGGGGTTTTAAAGGTCACATTTTATACAAAATATACTTATACCATGTTTTTCTAACACTAATATATGTCTCTAGTCTGTCAACAAACCGCCCTATCATGAGAAAAGTCCACCCTCTCCGTCTTTTGCCTGCTCCACTTTTCAGAAAATGTGTGCTCAAACAGGCCGTTTGGAGATTTTCCCTTCATGACATCACAAAGGGCAGTAGCCCCTCCCCCAGGTGGGTGACACTCCCACAGCTAGGTGTTTGTTCTGCCCTCTGATTCCTCTTTCTCTCTGCAAACAATCGAGCATGTAGCAAGACAGCCCGAGCCACCCAAGCCCTTCCAGAGAAGGGGTGTGGTCAGACACAGCTCATTTACATATTTAAAAGTACAGACACAGAAACAGCCTGTTCTGAGCAGGGCTGAAATAGAGGGGTTTATAGACATGATCAAATACAGGATCAGAGTGGATTTAGAACAAGAAACTTCACACACATGTTTTGGGGCCCTCTGAGACTCATTTACACTGGTTGAAGAGGAGGAGAATATGTGACCTTTAAGATATCTCATCACTGCTTACATTTTTGCCAGATGCCAAACACAAACTTTGTTCGGCTTCTGCAATAAATATTTGAAAAACAAATGCAAACTCAAGTTCTCAAACTGAACCGACATAAACAAGACACAAACAAGACGCTCTTTTAATAAAGAGCTAGATCCTTTAAAAACAGGATCGCTCACTTTGTTGACATGTATTTGCAGTTTAGTCATTCGAAGAGAGGAAACACATTTTGCCCTTTGTGGGATGACAGGAAGCGAGCTCACACGCTCAGGCTTTCAGGATTTGTTGCTTCAGCAAAAATGCTCTGTTCCTCCTTTAATATTGTGTGCGTGTGCGTGTGCGTGTGTGTGTGTGTGTGTGTGTGTGTGTGTGTGTGTGTTTCCTTCTTCTATTCGCTCTGCAGTATCATCTGGTGGTCTGTCGAGATCAGCAGGCTCAGCATCCAGTGCCTTTGAGACATATAACCCCAGACCCAGATACGCTTTGCAGCCAAGGTGCAACACTACAAAAGACTAGAACTTGACATGCTTACTTTGTGAAGAAAGTATTTATTTATTTAGTATTGATTTGTTTTTAACATTGGAGCCTCGAGTAGCTTTATAAGCAGTTGAGTTTATAGCCTGTTCTAAAAGCTGTGTGATGCTCCTCTCGTATTTACAGCTAAAGATCTCTTCTCTTTTTTACTCTTAAATGGAACAAAATGTCCTCTGTAGGTCTGTTCTCTAACCAAAAAGTAACCACATCCTTTCTTTTACGCAAGAGGCCAAGGAGGCATCACAGAGGGATTCGTCAAGGGGGCCCTTTCTGTGGCAGCGTCTGCTTATAAAGCCCTCTTCACTGGACCAAACTGTTCCATACAGGTATGTCACACAGAGACCACCAGGGACTGCAAATGTGTTCATGATGATGTCACACGATCAAAGTAACTAAGTGGATGTTTCTAAGAAGAACTTTGTGGTGGGGAGGACGAGTGCTTTCTCATAAAACTCATAGACATCCCGAACAGTTTCTCCCCTCCTCCTCCTCCATCAAACTAACTAAGTGGATGTTTCTAAGAAAAACTTTGTGGTGGGGAGGACGAGTGCTTTCTCATAAAACTCCCGAACATCCCTAACAGTCCGAACAGTTTCTCCCCTCCTCAAAGATGCTGAAAAAGCCAAAACTCTGCAGCTGTTTTGTGGTATTTTTGAGGACATTTTTATGACATCAACAGGGCTTCAGTCGTTATTTTTCTATTAACAACACAAAATATCGTAATATCGTAAATTATTGTAATGGAAAAGGTGTTTGATCTATTGAAAAACCAACAGAGAATTTTTCTTCCAAATGTTCTGCAATGATGTCATGGTGTCGTTTCAAGCCAAACACAAGCAGCTGCTTCCAGCAAAACATTCTTGATAAACCTTTGTACCACACATCTGCAACACACAAACTGCGACTAATAAATCAAACAAATACTTGGTCAACATACATCGAGCCAGATTTGTCCCTCAGGAGTTGCCGTGGTTACCAACAGAGCGTTCAGGAGAGGGACTAAAGGGTTCAAATCAATGCTAGTTTGCCACTGCGTCAGCTGGATGTCTCAATAGGTAACTGTTTCATCATAACAGGTTTATAAGGTGATAAACTGGGAGCGTGTTCTGTTTCCATGGCCTAGTGGCCTCGGCTGTAAAACACAATGCAACGTATGTAAAATGAAGCCAGCCGGGGGTTAAACTGATTTAACGTCTGAAGAATGCTGTGTTTGTGGATCTTTGGTGCAGCTATTTCTTCACAAAATTAAAATATGTGTCAACCATGTAACCTCAATCCACAGAAAGAAGTCCAGGTATTTTGATATTTGTCAGTTTACTGAGGGGAGAAAAGGAGAAGACAAAACATCAGAGAAAAGAGGGAAAACAGATGGATCAGAGAAACATTATGTAACGTTCCCACCTTAAAATATTAGTTTCAGAGTCGATCTAAAAGTACAATAACCTACAAAAGGGAGAATAGTTTCCATCCCATGTCCACAGAGTGCCCTGCTGGTCGCCTGTTTTCAGCAATATGTAACTTTGGCAGCCGGCCTCTGTTCTTTGCGAGAATTTTGTACGGCTTTAAGCCACTAGTTCACACAGCAGCCTTCAGCTAAATAGAAGCAAGTTACCTGTCTCTGTTCTGTTTCATACAAATGCTGTGGCTAAGAGACGAAAGTGGACGGATGAGGCTAAGAGAAAAAGAGAGGGACCGAGCAAGACAGAGTTTTACAGGAAACAGTAGGCTGCAAGTGTGACTCTGAGCTGGCTATGTCAATACACTGGCTTTTTTGAAAGTGCAGTTGCAGCAAGAGGCCTTTGGTGGGTGCCAGAGTGCAAAAAAACAGAATTCTTCCACAATTTTTGATTAACTGTAGAGAAAGCTGAATTGAAAGGAACGGGTGGATTCCAACAGGCTAGTTAAACAAAAAATAAGTCATTTTAAAATCAAGCCAATCGAACCTAAAATCTAATTTTTTGTGCGTCACATTACGGATGTCTTATGTAAATAGCCATGTAATGAGCAGGATCATGTATAGTGATCGTGGAGATCCTGCTCACTGTGTCATGTTTCCATTAGGCGATAAGAAACCGCTCACTGTACATCATCCATCACACATCAATCTTGTGGCTGATTGTCTGGTTTTACTTTTGTAGCTCTTAAAGAAGCATCAGTATTAAATTAATTTCTAGCTCAAAGCTCCTGACATCATCAATTTATCTTGTGTCTTTTTTTTTTTCCCCCCTTCCTCCACTGTAGCGAGGCATCGACCCAGCCACCAGACAGGACCCTTCCATGATGGCGATGCTGCTGGAGATGGGCTTCGGAGACCAGCGGCTCAACCAGCGGCTGCTGAGGAAGCACGGCTACAGCCTGCTGCACACCGTCAACGAGCTGGTGCAGATGGCCGAAGACAGCCAGAACAAAGCTGTCAACTCTCTGCACTAAAGGGGGGAGGGGGGGGGGGGATAACCGCAGGGGGAGAGGCTACTTTTGTTTAAGGCTTTAAAAGAAGGAATTGAAAACATGATGTAAAAATATTTAGATTATGTCCTGCATATCGCTCACCCTTTACAGCGTCTAGCTTTATATTCAATTCTGTAAAGTCCAGACAAAGAAAACCTTTCTGTGTGTGACTTATTGGTTGATCATTTATTTGGAACAAAATGAATAATAATTACACACACAAAAAATCCGTTAAAGGCAGGGTTGGTTATTTTTTCAAAAACTAGATGATTTGAAAGTAGCATTCCCTCAGTGCTCCGTCTGCACCCGGCCACTCCCCTCTGTGCTCCCTCAAAAGCCACGCCCCCTCACTTACATGCACAAGCGCCATTGGTCCAGAAGCGGACCTCAGCTCATGCATTGAGTGTGGGCTCGTGCACACAAGGGGTAGAGAACGAGCAGGGAGACAGGGAGCCGTGATTGGTTCATAAAAATGGCACCTCGTGCAGACATTGGTTGAAGTTTTTACAGGCTAACAACGGCCACAGATGATGATTTTCTTCGTTCCTTTTTCAGAGCTCATGAGTTATTAATTCCTATCAGGACCTAAAGACAATTTCAACCAAAATCTTAAAAAGTGTATCTGGAGGAAATGACCAACCCTGCCTTTTAATGTGTAAAAAAAAAACTTAAAAATTTGCATATATTTCTTCAAACTCTAAATTAGAAAGAATGGCTTCCCTGCCTTTGCCTTTACTTTAGCTTCAACATTGGGTTGAAATGAAACATATACACCTGTAAATTACTCAGACTAGCGGTGAACCTTTGCCATGCCTTGTTTACCTTGGACCATAGAGCCTTCTGTGTCGATGTAATGCTGCAGGAGCTGTGTAGTTCAGACCGGACATAGGAGTGTAGTATTCCAGCTCTTTCATCTTCGTGTTTGTGTGGCTGTCGTAGCTGCTTCCTCGGCGCTGAAAATAATCGTATTCGGAGAAAAAAGGGCTTCTTTGGCTAGATTCTTCTCTCAAATAGAGCAGTGGATGGTAGTATTGTTGAATGTCAAAAAAAAAAAAGGCCTGCTCTCGTGTGAGACGATGCTACTGAAGCTTTTCATGGGTGTTCTTTGGTGTTAAGGGTCGGCAATTTGCAGTAGTAAGAAAAAAAGAAAAGAAAAAAAACAAGATATCTGAGACGTTTCTTGATTATCGTAGTGAAATCTGCCTAAACAATGCAATCTTTTTCTGTATCAGAGTACTGTTATTTTAGACGTTGACATGTGGAATGTATTCAAAACTTTGCCCGAGCGCAATTGCCGCTCGGACTCGGATGTTTTCTACCGCTTTTTAGGAGACACCTGCATGACAGGTAGAGGCTGTAGAGATGAGTCGTGTTCTTGTGGTCTTAGCACAGTCACAGTTTGGGGGGGGGGAGGGGGGCTTTGCATCATCATTTATCTCCCCTGCCTGCATTTTGTCCTCATTCAGCCACCATCCCTCCCCCTTCAAAAAAAATATAAACCTAGCAACAGTCATTCAACACTAATCCAAGCTGAGATGTCTCTAAACACATTCCTTTAATCTCATAGTGGAACCAAGTATGTTTTTATTTAAATACATTGCCTTTTGGAGAGATGATTATTCGTTTACTGACATAAATGTGCTGATTTGACATATTATGTGTGTGCGTGTGTGTGTGCAGATTTACGTTAATGTACACCTCTGTTCTCTTCATTTATTCTTTCTTGGGCGTGCGTGTGCCGGGTTGACGAGTTTTCAAATCATGTTTTCTTATGTTGACGATTCTCCGTGTTTAAAAAAAATCTTTCTCTAGAGAATAATTGTGAATATATCTACTACTGTACGCTTGTCGAATTATTCTTCTGCCACAGAGTGTATACATTGAATCCTCTCAACTGTCAATCCGCCAATAAACTATTTGCACATCTCTCCTTTGTGTGTGTCTTTGCCCCTCTGTTAATGAGAAGTGTCTGAATGGAGGTTATGCAACGCTGCACCATGTGTGTCCTTTATGAAGGCCTGCAGTGCTTTCTGTACGAGGTTAACTAGACGTAACAAAAGGTACAGAGGCTTCAAAGGTTACTGTGACAATACTGCAGTTTCAACAGAATTTTGTGTGCAGGTTCAACGTATATAAGAAAGTCACTGAAGTGCAAAATCTACTCAGACTGTTAGGTCTCAAGATTGTGTCTTGAGTCAAGAATAAAATTATTTTGTTTTTTGTTGAGCATAAAAAACGCAAGCCCTAAGAGGACAAACATCCATACCATATAGTTTACTCTGTTTTCCTGTTACAATGAGTCAATTTAGGTTTTTTTCTCAAGAGCTCAATGGGCTTATCTTGTTGCCTTGGGATAACAATGCTGGTTTTCCCGGGATATAAAGAGTTAAATTCAGTCCTTCAGAAATCTAATTATTGGAACACCAGAGATCTGCTCCCGGGATAATGACATAAATGAGTCAAGATATCAAGAAAACAACCGGAAGGTAGCTTATGAACCTACATTATCACAGTAAAGCAGAGTAAAATGATTTTTTAAAGTACGGATTTTTTACTTACATGGGTCATTTTGTTGAAAAAGCAAAGGGGGTGGGGGCGCTGGTGGCACAGCGGTTAGTGCGCGCGTCCCATGGCCTGTGGCTCCTTTCCTGCATGTCATTCCCCACTCTCTCTCTCTCCCCCATTTCTGACTCTATCCACTGTCCTATCTCTCAAATAAAGGCCCAAAAAGCCCAAAAATAAATCTTTTTTTTTTTTAAAAAGCAAAGGGGATGACACTCTGGGAAAATATATTTATATATTCTCTTGCAGAGAGTTCATTAGATTTAAATCCCTTTTAACTCTGTTTGGAATATGTGAAGCTAGTGCCACAGCCGGTTAGCTTAGCTAAGCACAGAATGAAAAAGGGTGATTTGTTAGCTTGGTTTAAAAAAAAAAATTACATAAAACTTTAATGTGATTCAGTGTGTTTATAATGACCTTTAGTCATAGTGAGCTTTAGTCATGTTTAAAAGAGTTTTTGCTGTTTGTTTTTTCCTCCTGTTGTTAGCAGCCGGTTAGCGTATGTTAGCACAGAGGCAGGAAATGGAAACAACTAGCCTGGTTCTGTCTTAAATTTTAAAATATAATCTAATCTGATACAATATGTTAATGAATTAGTTTTTATGGTTCAAAGTTTAAAAGTGATGTTTGAAGGTGTTAGCTCGTTATTTTTCTTCCTCTTTCTAGCAGCCGGTTAGCTTGTGTTAGCAAAAAGGCGGGAAACTTGGAAACAGTAAGCCTGGATTGCAGAAACATTAAATCTATTTAAATATGTTAATTTGAGTTTAGTTTTGTTGGCAGGTGTCATTTTTTATTCATAGAGAGAGCCTGTTTTATATCTGATTGTCTTGACACTAAACTAACTTTACGATTGTGTAAAGTCCCAAATCTATTTCTCATTTAATTATTTCTCCTGCTTTTTGTAAATTTGTGTCTTTAACATCTCAGTCTTATTCTGCTTTGCTGCTAATTCAATTAATATTTTTACTTCACCACGAGGCTCGCACATGATTCATGATCATGATGATTTGTTTTAATTAGATATTTGATGTCAAAAATTACACTGAAGGTTTTCATGTGAGGAAATTCAATTTCAGCTAGTTTCTGGTGGAAATTAAGTCTCAACATTTACTCAAGTCGCTAACTTTTGTATAATTTGAGATGCTTGTATTTTATTTAAAGGTTTCAGTTTTCTGGAACCTTGTGCACTTCTACTCCTTCTACTTTATTATTTTACTTCTGCTCAGATATTCATATACAAACTCATAATACAAAACTGTAATCAGTTAGTACATTATTTAACATTAGAATAAGATTAGACGTATTTGCTCCTTAGACAGACATTCAAATGCAACTCTGTGGTACACAAAGTTAGATTTAAATTAGACCAATTTTTATCCGAAGCAATCACTTCAGTTCTTTATTTGAGATCTCGAGAAATTAACTTGTTATCTCTGAAAAATACAACTCCTTAATTGTTACAATGGGAACAGGAGTTACAAAAATTGTGATATATAACATAGGTTTAATTAGTCCATAAAAACCCAATTAAAAAAAAAAAACACACATTCTGTATGGACATTACTAAATGGAAATTTTGTTAATATATAAAAGCAATAAAGGAAGCTTAAAAAAACAAAAAAAAATTGTATTTTATTAGTTCTTTTGTCAAAGGGAAGACTTAACAATTGTCTAAAAGTGGAAGGTACACACACTCTTCACAGGTAGGCCTACAGTGAAGCGAGGGGGCCAAAAGGGGCCCTTATAGAATTATTTGCCCCTGTGGCCACAAAAGAGGTTAATCAGGCCATGGTAGCCTATATTAGATATATTGCGAAATGTACCTTTAAATATTTGAGATTGTATAAACGTCTGATTTAACCATGGACAGTCGTCACGCTGCATCAATCCAGAAAAGGTAATCAAAACCCCTCGCATGTGATCTGTGGCTGCAGACAGCCCAAAGTGAACTGTGAAGACGGAAGTGATCCTCCCACTCGGTTTTGTTTTTTCAGACTCTGAAGTCTTTAAGAAGCTCTTCAGCATTTTAAACATGACAAACCACTAGTGACGCAGTTTCATTTTCACACTGGGTGATTTTTTGACTTTTGACTCGAGTCGTGCTGGGAGGTAAGAGCTCATTTCTTACATCTGGAGTAATGCAGGAGTCATTTTTCTGCCCCACATGTTTGTTAGTGTGTTGTGCTATATTTGACCGTGAAGCCTAAAACAGCAAGTGAAACACCGACAATGTAAACAAGCTCGGGGAATACGGAAGTAGCCTACATAGGTGTATGTAAGGGCTACGATTTTCGTTATATTTGATATCTGCAATACCTAAATCTGTGTAAAGCAAATTGTATTTTTATTTATTCATTTATGATTTATTGATAAGGACAGAAGAGCGTTTGTGTAGTCTCAATAAAAGATAGAAACAGTGCAAAAGGAGAAAGAGCAAACTGGGTACAGTAGAATTGTACTCTTAATGTGCGTTTTCATGTTATTGTTATTGTCCAAAAATGCAGCAATAAAAACCTGTTTACATCCCCAAATGATGTGCAGAATAACCAGGACGTATCAAAGTATCCTTGGCAAAGGAAGTACTGTACTGCTTGACAAACTGCTTGACAAAAAAAGGCTGCGTCATATTTTCCTGTTAATGTCTTTTGTCTTATCATCAAAATAAAGCCTTCTTAATGTTTTTTAATTAAAGTAGACCTACTCATAGAGAACAAGGGTATTTTCTATCCAATAATGTTAATATTGGATCACTTGTAATGTGTCATTTTACATCATGTTGTCGAGAACAGATCATTTTAGGATTAACTATTCACAATTCAAAATCTGATTTAAAAATTTGATTTATTTTAGTTGAATATTTATCTGCAAACTGGTAGATACTGCAGCTTTAAGATTAAGGCACTGAGTACAATATTTTCCTGTACTCATTGTAAAAGTAGGCCTAAGTGATTCTTATCCTATACCTGCAACTTTAATGTAGAATAACTGAATTTAGTCTTTAAAGAGGAATATCCTGATTTTAAGTTCAGTATACCATACGATGCTTCTTTGTATATTACGACTATCTGTGGCTTTGCAATTTTTTTAATTGCTTGAATTTTTTTTAAATGATTTTGTCTGGTGTTTTAAATGAAAACCTGTTTGCCAACTGTGTTAAGAAGGAAACTTTGATCGGATAAATTGTGCCAGGAATACCAGGAAATAGCTTTCCACTGAAGGTTCTCTGATAATAGTTTTAGTCATGGTCATCACTATGGTCTCAAATGTCTCATGTGTTTTTATTGTAAAAAAAAATGATGGGTTTTGTTTTTTTTGCTCCCCGCCCTCCTCCCCTCCAAACACACACATACATAATCACATTTTTTATTTATGGGCGTCACAAGACTTATTGCATCAAACTTGAAGTTCCCATCATCACTTTCTCCAAAAGCTGTGATTTGGACACAAACCATTCATTTCTGCTGAATCTGCATGCTTTTGGTTCCTTAACTGAATCAAACCATGAACCCAAATATATGCATCACTTCTCTCTTTCTATCTGAAATGAAGCAGTCATCAGAAAAACATGGTACAGTATCACAGGGTTTTTTACTAAGTTGCCAAACTGCAATAAAGTAATGGAACACGGGGCTGTCACTCCCACTCTGTGGACTCTGCTCGTTTTCTCACATGACGTCTAAAATCGAGCTTTTATTGGCCGTTCAAAGGTTTGTGAGGGAGGCTGACGTTCTGCTGCACGAAGCCACACACACCGTCTGTTAGTCACAGGTGAAGCTTTGGATTTTTAAGGTGGAGATTTCATCCATTTTGGTTTCTCTCTCTCTCTCTCTCTCTCTCTACTTCAGACTTGACTTTTTCTCTCTAAAGTGCCATGGTATCATTGGGAAATAGCAACAATCACGCGGAGGGAGCTGATCTTAAAAATGGGTCAGAGAGGGCGAGAACACTGAAGCACTTTCCCCCGTACGGCACCATGAGCGGGAACTCATCAGCTGACACCTGTCCAACCTGTCGCGGCACCGGGCGAATACCCAGAGGTCGGTTTTCTTCCATCAAAATGTTTTTTCATGATTTTGTTTATTCTAGGTTCTTGTTTTACAGATTTTTGAGGTTGTTAAATGCAAAAATAACCAAAAACAGCTCGGTGAAGTTTACAGTTTTTTGTCTCTAAAAACGTTCATTTTACTGAGTCAAATCGACAGACACAAATAAATTGATCCACTTTCACATCATTTTAGTGATAATAATTAACTTCCATCTCTATTTTTTTTCTTTTCAACAGGCCATGCCGACCAGCTAGTTGCTGTAATCCCATGTAATGATGTCAGGCTGAAACCCAGACGCACGTAAGAGATGAATTTATTTGTCATTTTTTTACATTTAGAAATATTCCCTGAACGCTCTGTAATCACATCATAGAACAAACTGCTCTTTGAATGAAGCATGAGTACATGTTGCACAGGATTTCTAATGTTTGCACCATGTTTCATGTCATTTAGCATGTTTTTTATGTTTGTTTTTGCAGAAAGCTGTACGTTTGCACCTCCATGCTGGTGTGTCTCTTGCTCTCCTGTCTGATCCTCTACTTCCTCTTCCCCCGGAGTGTCACCGTGACGCCCGTGTCGGTGCTGTCCGTCATGGTCTACTTCAACCCAGGCACGATTCAAATGGAGGTCACGGTGAGTAACAGCAGCGATAAGAGCAGAGCCAGTTACATGGGAATCTCTACGTTGTATATAGAAAAAATCACTTCACTGGGAAAAAAAAAAAAAAGAGATGTTCCAGTTGAAAGCTCCTTGTTTCATACAATCTACTACAGCATAAATAGAATAGAATAGAATTACTTTATTGATCCCAAACTGGGAAATTGTGGCGTTACAGCAGCAGGTTATCCAACACACAATGAGTAAAAAACACAATGTAATCAAATCTAAACACAATATAATATTAAATACAAAGTAAATAAGTACTAAAAATATCAAAATATATACAACCAGGATTTAAGTTAGCATTACTAGTCTTAAATAGGAAGATTAAATATGAAAGATTAAATATAAATGTGCAAAAACAGAGTAGTAAATGGACAGTATTGACATAAGTTGAAGTGTATGAGTGTAGACATATTATAATCAGAAACTATACAATATAACGGCGAGTAGACAGCCAAATGAAGTGAACTTGAGTGCAGGGATAATTTGTAAATTTAACATGTGCAGAACAGATTACAGTATGGAGAGACAGATGTTATCATCATGCACCCTAGACAGTTCGAGGCGTGATATTTACTCCACTGAAACGTCTTTCCTTCAATGTGAATGTCAGAATGAGGGGAAGACGTGATCCCACCTCTGTGCCTCCATCAGAGGTAGTAACCGGTGATCATCAGAGCCAGCCGAGGAGAACAGCGCCATGTGCTTGTCTCAGTAGCCCTTTTTCTGATGTCTGCATGTGGGCCCCAGAGTCGCCTGCTCTCAGTCTATACCTCGTTTTCCTCTTTTTTGGAAGGAGAGTTTTTTCTTTTCCCCTGACAAGCTGTGTGTGTTTCTTCTTCTCCTAGAACCTCATCAACATCACCAACGAGAACTTTGTCCCGGTTCAGCTCGTCGAGTTCGACATCCAGTGTCTCATTTCCGAAGTGGTGGTGGGCAAGACCAAGATAAGTAACATGACCTCCATACCGTCCCGCTCACAGAAATCGGTGAGTTTTGCACAAAATCAATCACAACAGAATGCTCTGCCCTTCTCTTTTCATATCTTACCCCTCTCTCTCTTTTTTTTTTGAACATTTGCAGTACATCATTAAGAATGAGCTGACTATCTCTGATACAGGATTGTAGTAAGTTTACACTTTTCATTTTCAGAAAGCTCTTCAAAGTGTCTTTTTCTATTTTCATGTGTCGATGTCCACTCACTAACGGCTTCTCATCTTTCAGCGATTACTGCAAGTCGACCTCGATCCATATTCACACGTTGTTTCTGGAGCTGCAGTAAGTATCCATCTCAGTCTGAACATCTCAAACTTACAGAGACCTGAATGCATCACTTTGTGTAGAGAGGGGCTGAAAGTCTTATCCTCTAAAGTCATATCTTTCAATCTAACATGTTCTTAGAAAAAAGAGTCAGATATCGAGGAAAGAGAGATTGATTGGGGAATGACATGCAAGAAAGCAGCCACAGGTCAGATTCGAACCTGGGCCGCCTGCTTGGTGGACCTCCGCCTTGGTACATGGGGCGTGCACACCAACCACTAGCCCACCAGCGCCACATTAGTCTGCTCTTTTAATTGCAAACCACACTTTGCAATCAACAGTAATCCGATACTGCAATCTGCAAATAGTCAATAATCTGCATCAATTCCTTTTTTTTACCACTTGGGGGCAGCAGAACAAGCTGGAAAAAATATATAATCATCTTATGAATATATTACCTGATATGTAATCATATGTGAACTAAAAACAACCACACGTGCTAATGCTAAGGTCTTTTCTCACTGTGTTAAAGATTCTCTCTGCCTTTTTCTCTCTTTTGGTGACAGCGTGACAAATACTGTGTCTGTTATCAGTCAAGCAGTGTACATTTGGGTTATCTGAGCTTTCTCAGTCAGAGGTGTTGCTTGTCAACAGGAAAGACAGGCAACTAATTGCGGCCCCAGTGGTGGTTGACTGTCGGTTGTAGTGTTTGCAGTGTGTTCAAGTGCAACTTTTTGACCCAAAAAAAAGGTGCTGTTATATGACGCCACAGACCACAGTCAGCCTTCGTCGCAACTAGTTCTTTGCCGTCTGCTTGGTGTGTCAGGGCCTTTAAACCAAAGCGGGGGCCCAAAATGTGCACATTTTCAATGACAGTAGGAAACCTCCCGAAGGGGGTCCTTCTTATCTGACAGCACTCAGTTTGTTGCCCTGCTAAGCGTCGCATGCATTATTATTGCTGTGTAAAGTTTGTCAATGAAAGTCAAGAGGAATTTTTCTATTTATTGAAAACGCTGGTTGAGGGCCCCCCAACTGATTTTTGGCCCAGGGCCCCAACAGACTCTAGATCGCCACTGTTCTCAGTTGTATTGAACCAATATAGCGCAGAACGTATATGGTGGTTTTCCGTCGGCTGTAGTCTTTGCGGTGTGTTCAAGTGCAACTTTTTGGCAAAAAAAGGCGTTGTTAGTCGACGCCACAGTCTTGGTGTGCTTGGTGTGTCAGGGCCTTAAAACCAAAGCAGGGGCCCAAAATGTGCACATTTTACAATGCACTCAGTCTTGTTGCCCTGCTAAGCGTCGCATGCATTATTATTGCTGTGAAACGTTTGTCAATGAAAGTCAACAAATAAAAACTAAGAGGAATTTTTCCATTTATTGAAAAAGAGGAAGAGGAGTAAGCGTCAGGAAACTGGCAGACTAAATGGGGATGACTGCTGGTCTGAGTGGCCCCCCAACTGTTTTTTTGGGCCCCTCAGTGGAGAGCTAGGATCTTCACTGTTCTCAGTTGTATTGAACCAATATGTGTGTTTAAACAATCAAAGAGTCAGGCTGATGAGAATATGTTAAGCAGGCCAGGAAAACAAAACTCAGTGACTGCAGCACACTGTGGAGCTCCAGGACTGTGATAAGAGCTGCTTAAAAACATCAGACAAAGACGCCGCAGCAGACGCTCCAACAGCCTCCAATAATGTTTCTTGTTTTTTTTTTTCCTCTCCACAGAATGACAATGAACATTTCTTATCTGTCGCACACGGAGCAGCTGTCTCTAGACACCTTCGAGTATATTGACTGTGGCACCAATTCCACAATCCCGCATCCTGTGACATGATGAAATGGAAATGAAAAAAAGTGATGAATATTCCGCCTGCATTGCACCACGATCCCGTCTGTAAGAGACGTGAGCGAGCTAATGATAAATACTGTGACAGGTATCTTTTTCTGTATGTTGTTTTAGCATACTGTAAGACTTAAATCAATCACTACAAGGATGTGATTAAAGAATACAGACACTTTTACTTCATGAATGTTTTCTTTGTTTGACATACAGTCAATCTGTATTAAAAACAATGTGGTTTTTAGAAAGTATAAGTGCACAGTTCTTGAATTGAAGAAGTAAAAAGTGTAACTTTTTGTTGGAAATTCTGCTGCTTCTAAAATGTTTTTAAGGCTGTTTACTTTTTTGTCCGGGTGACCGATTTTTTTATAAATATCTTTTTTTTTAATTTGAAGCCGATGATCTTGTCTTTTGAAAATTTGCACTCCATTAAAACTGTAGCATGTTGGTGTCTGTATGTTATGGTCTTTATTCACTTTACTTAAAACGAGTTTGCTGCCACATTTCAAGACACTTCATAGATACATGTTTAGAATTAACTGTCAACAAAACTCGAAATTTCCTCCAGGTCCTGAAGTTCTTGAGAGTGGACACAGGGTGGAGCTAATGCTTTCCTGATTGACATCTCAGCTAGTCAACGCTTTGCACTTCAAGGCAGTGGCGGTTCTAGACCACTTTTACTCTGGGGGCAAAACTTCCTTTTGGAGGGGTGGCCACAGGGGGGACCAAACTCAGTGTTACAGGAGCACTGGCCCCTGTTGGCCCCTGCTTAGAACCGCCCATGCTTCAAGGTGCAGTACTGGTGCCAAATTTGGTTGAGTACATTTCTTTGCCAAGTAAAAACTCTTACTAAAAGCCATTACAAGAGAATGGCGGTGCTTATCTAGAAAGAATGTACTGCACGTGTAGTTGTCAAGGTTGTGGTGCAGAAATCATGACTTTATAATACAATAGAGCCTTTATGACATTTACAATAAAAACACCAAAACACTTCTTAAGGGCACAACTTTCACACATCCTCATTTTTACAACAAAACATGCACTCAAGTTAGAGAAAAAAAGAATATTGATGCAACACGGTTAATGGGATATTTTGCACAACAAACACTTTTTATTTGCATGGCATAGCTTACTTTTGAGGAAAAAGTAAAAAAATATTTTAGAAGAATTCAAGTAGAAATCCTACTGACGTTTAAAGTCAATCATATTAATGTTAAAAGTGAAGTACAAGTGTGATATTATTCGCAACAAACTGGGTTTTCTCTGTGCAACCGCATGTGTTGCAGTTCGTCCTTCCACCGGCAGAGGGCGCGGAGTTGCAGTCCAGGTGGGTTGTGACGTCACCTGGGCTCTAGCTGGCTGCTGCTCTCCGGGGCTCCTCACACACACTCAGTGCTGCTGGAGAGCAGGACCGGAGTGGATGTGACCGACCTGGGACGAGGACCGTTTTGTTTACCAAGTCAACTACCATGGATGTGTTTATTTCTTGTGGATAATGTTTCATCGCCGCACATTTAAAAAGGTACGCACGTTTATTTTATTATGTACGCAAGAGGAAAGTCTTTTAAAATTTGGCGAATTCATCCCGAACAAGCTGTCATTAAACTACAGAGGACGCGTGTGTCTATTAGTGCCTTATATTAAGGAAGTAACCTTTTAAAGCACTCTGGAGGAGATTTTTTTTAAAGGAATTTAATTTATTTGCACTCTTAAAACATCATAGAAATAACCTGCAATTTAAAGTCAATGTGCAGGAGAATAAGAAAACTGAGGTGCCTCATCTGCAAAAGAATATAGTCAAATAAAATCAAGTTATGAAAACAAATATTCACAAACGTGACAGTGCAGTTTGCCTCTGAACAAAAAAAAAATCGTTGCTTTAATTAAAAATAAATGACGTTTTGGGCTCTGTAGTGAATAATTCATATCTTTCTGTAAACGTACAGTGTCCAAAAAGCAGCTGTTTTGATGGGTATCTGGATGTCAACAACAACCGGATTAGTCCTGCTGCTGCAGTCCTCATACACAGCAGTGAATACATATCACCCATCCACTGCAATGAAATCAATCTGCCCCCAGGAAAAGCCCTTCAGGTTTAGCTGTCTTAAGAGGATCGGAGGGATCGGGGGGGATCTGGATAACCTCGGCCGTCCAATTAACTGTTGTTGTTCTGTGTGATGTGTCACCGACAAACAAAGGGCATTATATTGATTTGTGTAAATAATGTATTAGAGAAGTTAATAAAGTATGCACGCATTGTTTAAATCTCAGGACAGGGATGACATCACTCCCGCTGATAATTATTATCTTCTCTTTGTGGTCTCTGTAATCTAAATGGCATTAAGATAGCGAATACATTCCTTCAGCCGCCATTGTGTTCTCATTAAATGCTAACTACGTGTGTGTTTGTTTTAGATAAGGTCACCGAGGACAGGGAGCAAATGCCAGAATACTGAAAGAGGATTAAACCAGGAATCCGTCACCTCCCCCTAAGTAGGTGTGAATTTGCTGGCTTGCCACCATGGGGAACCAGCTGACCGACATGGCACCCAACACGTCGTTCCTGCCAAGCTTCCAGTGCCTTCACGTGGTCGTCATCGGGCTCGACTCGTCCGGGAAGACCTCGCTGCTCTACCGGCTGAAGCTGAAGGAGTTTGTGAACACGATCCCGACGAAGGGCTTCAACACGGAGAAGATCAAAGTGGCCGTGGGGGCGTCCCGGGCGATCAACTTCCAGGTGTGGGACGTGGGCGGTCAGGAGAAGCTGCGGCCCCTGTGGAAGTCGTACACCCGCCGCACGGACGGGATGGTCTTCGTGGTGGACTCGACGGAGCTGGAGCGCATGGAGGAGGCCAAAGTGGAGCTCCACAAGATCACCCGCACCTCCGAGAACCAGGGCGTCCCCGTGCTGGTGCTGGCCAACAAGCAGGACCTGGACTCGGCCTTGTCCGTCGGCGAGGTGGAGAAGCTGCTCGCCGTGCACGAGCTGAGCACGTGCACGCTGCGCCACGTGCAGAGCTGCAGCGCCGTGGACGGTCAGGGACTCCAGCCGGGCCTGGAGAAAGCTGTACGACATGATCCTGAAGCGGAAGAAGATAGTGAAGCACAACCGGAGCAGGAAGAGATGAACTCTGTTGCTCACGCTGAGAACGTTAAGTTGAGGAGATTTTATCCACGAGACACTTTTTAATGGTCGCTTTTAACGGGAGAGCGATTTGTGCCAACAAAAACAAGAACCACAAACGGCCTCGGGGTCGGAGAAATGGATTGGCTCATAACAACCGAAGCAGTATTGACTTATTCTTTGTTCTACAATGGTGCAGCTGACCTTTGAAAGCTCAACTTATAGATTTAAAAGGGAAACTTGGTCGCAGTTAGTCCTCACTAAGTGCTTTTCTAAAACTTGATTTAAAGAAGGATTCTAACAAGACGTTTGCTTGTTAACTGTAGTAATTACAAACACTTTTGCATCCATACGGCAGGCGTGTAGACGAGACACATATCATATAGAAATGTTCGGACATTTTTGTCCCACAAATTCTTCCCCTAAATATTTATTCTGCTCTTTGTGTTAGCATCGGAGAGAAAAGAAGATTCTTGTTTTGAAATCTTGTGAAATGAAAGAGAGTTCAGTGGTGATGAAGAAGCACAAATTATTTTTAATTTTCTTCACAATGGAATCAGAAATCCTAAGTGCATTCCCTTCATAGCCACAGAGGCTCAGTGTCAGCGACTCTTAATAAAACTGTTTATATACAAATTGTACATTTTTTGTAACACTGAAGACTTAATAAATCTACGCACTGTACAGAACACCCCCTTTGCTTTCTTTGCAGTTCATTGAACCGAGGAATCCTACAACGGGTGAGGTTTATCATATTATCAAGCAAAATAATCTAAAACATTTACATTGTACTATGGAAAATCATCAAATATCCATGGCACATGGAAAATGTGAAAACTTTTCTTGTATTTTGTTGTGAGCGAACAGCACGTTTCACCTGCAACTTCTTCAGGTTCTTTCACAATAAAATACAGAAAAGTTATTTTCAGTGTGCCACCGATTTTTGATTTCTCTTTCATGGTATGTTCCTGCAACCGTGCACACCTCAGAATGTATATAAACTGTGCACGGGTTACCCTGTTGGCCATTTATATTGTTCTCGTTGAAGCAGCTGTAATCGAAATGTTCATATTATCATATTAGCAAAGAGCTATATGGTTTTTATTGTCAAATCCACAACAGTTATCAACGTCTCTACAGTTTACTTTAGGGTTTTTTAGCTCAATGTTTTGGTTTTCTTACGTCTTTTTAGTAGCTCTTGTCGCTGTGAATTTGTGTCAGCTGCAAGTGAAAGTTGTTTTTTGGTGAAATAGCCTAAAAACAACACAGCATGTCATGCCCCTATAGACACAAAAAGTTAGCAACTAGCTGCTGGACGCTGGAGAATTTAGAATCTAAAGAGACAGATATTTGCCTCAGGATTTGGTGGAGAGACCAACAAAGGACGCTAAAACTATTAAAATATAAGGAGGCAGAAATCTGTTATCTTGCATCAGATTTAGTCGCGTGGATATCTGACTCTCGTCTTTACCCATACATGCATATTCATGGCTTAACTGAAGTAAATGATGGAAAATGATCGATTTAAATTTGTGTGATTTCAAAATATCGAGGCAAATCGCCTTCAAACTCACATTGTATGCTCAAAGCTTCTATAATCAATATTCTTCTATCAAATAATGGTTTGATGTGGCCAACCTACAAAGGTGTATTGCATGACTCAACATTTTCCCAAAGGAGAATTTTAGTGTCTTTTAGCTGTTCACTTTTTGTTTTGGCCTTCATTGTCTTCTCCACAGCAGGCGGCTGCTATTGTCTGTAGAACAATCTCAAAAACCCTCAAGATGATTGAAAACACAGCTTAAAAATCTGCAGAGAGACAAAGTCAGTGACCAGCTGTAGGAGCATTTAAAAGTGAAAGAGCCAAATGTATTCATTAACAGTTGGTGGAGACCAAACATTGAGCTACAAGTATTGGGACGTAAGGAAGCGCAAATTTGTTGCTTATAAAATGACTCGCATCTAAACGTAGACGTCTGGAGCTTCGACCCTCCTCCTCTTGAATCAGCAAATTAGGCTGTCAGAGAGACCCTCCCAACACACACACACACACACACACTCCCCCCACTGAGACCAACACAATCCATTCACTCTGCTTCCAGCCTCCTAGTCCTCCAGCTGCTGACACTGTAATTGCATCAGTTAGCAGTGAGGTGGTTCAGAGGTGAGGGGAGGTGGGGGGTTTAGTCCTGTGGTGTGAACATGTGGGATTGAGCCACCTGAGGCCATCACCAGCACATGTTCTGCTTCGCTGAGCCTCTCACACACTGACTTCAACACAGAGAGAAAAAAAAACCCAATAAAAAATATTATTTTAATGAGTGGAA